CAGTGCGCAAATACTTCTAACAGCGTGCCGTTATGTGATCATTGCCATGATCTGCTCTTGATAGGATTTATGATCGCCAGAACATCTCCCTGTACATCACTTGTTCTGGAACAAACCGAGGGAAGATTCTCAATTCAGGGACCCAAAATACGCTTGTTGGAGTCGGGCTCTAGCTGCTGCTCTGCAGCGTGCCCCTAAGTTACATGCCATCATGAACGGAGGACTTCTGGCAGCTTTTCATAGAAAAGTCTTCCTTCTCTGCAGCGATCCCTTTGAGGACTTCAACACCGGCGAGCTCCTGGGTTTCGACCAAGGCATCTGCACTTGGATTGAGACTGACGTAGCGCAAGAGTGCGACTTCTCCTTCATCTTCTACGACGGCAGCTCTTTCACCGTGACAGTGAGTCACTTCCCTGGCCACTCCATGCCCCAGTTTGTTTCGGGGTTAACCTGCCGCTATGCAAACCTGGTTAGCAATACCTGCTTCAGTCACCACAGACGCGTACATATTTACAGCTCGAAGCTTCCCGGCCCGTTCATGCTGAGATAAGCGCAGGAACGAGCGAGAACTTACACCTCAATTTTCAGATCATTCAACCGTAATCGACCTGGCGCTTCTTGTAGTATAGCCGGGGGAGCCGGAGTGGAGCCACTCTGTCTCGGAAACCGAGGCGAGAGGTTTGGTTCGCCACTCAAGTGATGATATTCCGGGGATCTCCAGTGCAAGGGTGCCTAGGAGTCTTTGCTATGGCCACGCTCCGACAAATCAGCCTTTGATCGAGCCTTACTTCAGGTGCAATACACTTTCCAAACCATGCAGGCGCAACAACAGCTTGCGAAGGATCCCAAGCAAACGTCGGATACTGAGTTGGATGCTGTATGGTTTCCAGCTTGACTTCTCATACATAAAGGCTTCTTCAAAAGGTCTTTTCAAGCTCTATAATGCCTTCGGCGCCTGTCTAACATGATTCTTGAGAAGATGCCAGGAGAAACATCTTTCGTCACTCATTGTCTCTCATCAATTCATTCTCTCACCCTTCTGACACGGCTTGATTCCGACAATTCACAGGGCCGCTTTGAGACGACGGGCGACCTCGCTGTTGTGGGGGGCACCGGGAACTTCACTGGCGCAACAGGCGTGGCCCGCTACAGCGGCTTGACCAGCAACAACGGCTTCTTTACCTACGGCTACAACGTCAGGATCTTCGTGCTCAAGCGTCCAATTCGTCTCGAGGCGCTCACCGCATAGCTGGACTCTCCTGGACTCACGAGAGAACCCGATAATACTCCTGTAGTTCAAAGTTGAATGTACAGACGTGGCAACCTATAGTGATTGTGCATGTACATGACCCGGCAAACCCGGGCGGGCGGGAACGTGCAATGTTGATATACTCCCCCGCGCTTCTTTCGATATACTCTATATAGCGTGTAATTCGTGTTTTTATAAGTTGTAACTTGACGGTGGGGGCCCCCCTAGCTGCTGGCTGCAAAATTATACCAGTTTTGTGTCAATCCACTGGATATGTCGCTGGCAGTGATGTCCTTTAATAAAAAGACATGACATCAAGACCGGACACATGAGGCCCTCTTGGCAACGTTCGCGAAAATGAACGTCCGACATGATTCCATGATCGAAGAGATACGTATGCAGTTGTATAGTCGGAACATCTTTTGGCATGCATAACTTGGTGAACATCTAAACTAGGTTGGAAGCGGACTCGTTCATGCAAGCTTGAATGTTAGTTTCGCGGCCTGAAAATCAAGAGTTGAAAGCCTCTTGAAGTCAACGCGCCCGGCCTACAACAACTGGCCGGTGAGTCCGACATGAGACACGGGGACACTACAAACACAAGTGAACCTAGCTGTCTCGGTCAGTTTACTTTGATTCGCTAAGCCTGACGCCGCAACTCCATCCGCAACGCTTCACCGACAACCTCGCCGTAATCTTCTTGGGCGTGATGGCCCACCTGCAAATGAATGCAAACGTTTTTTTAAGAAGCGTTCCTTGCGGCTTTGCAAACTGTCGAGTCAGCTAAGCCATACTCGCCCTTTCAGATTTTGACTATCTACCCCGTGCACGGGACTGGAACTGGCCACTGTGTGCTTTTGTCGGCTGGGTTTTCATATGACAAGGACTGCACTCCTAGGAGAATGTCCCATCAACGAGTGACCTCGACCTTGATAGATTCGCCCAACTTCGGACTCGAAGGCTTTGAAACACACCGAATTGGGTCCAGTTTCGTCTACAATAAGAGCGATATCTAATCGAAAGCGATCACAGCAACCTCCAAGGTCACTCGCTTTCTTCAACGATCAGCTTTGTCTCCGAGCAGTCAAACCGGGAAGGATCTGGAATAGTAAGATGAATTCGAAACCAATGGTCAGACTAAGCGGCCGAAAAAAACTTCCAGCGCTGCTCTTACATCAAAAGGTGGACAATTGAGAGGATGTAGTAGGAGAAGGCACCTGATCCAACTCGACGAGCGGCACGTTTGCCGATCGCGCAAACTCTTGCACGCCGTCGAACTTGAGCCAGTAGTCCTGCAAGACGAAGCATCCGTGAGACCGTGAGCGTCCTTCCCACTCTGATATTGCGAGCCACCAAAACAATGGAATCTCATGCGACTGTGCTCTTTATCTCAAGCAGAGGTCACTTTGTCGAAGTCCAACTTTCATGTCGGAGAGCCGCGGAGGGAACTGTCACGTACCAAGTCTACAGTCAGATTCCCAACTGGCTTGGATGGTGAGAAGGATCCGTCTGAAGGCGCCAAATCACAACCGGCAAGTGGTCACGCTCAATGAACAGGTGTCAGCGGACGTTCAAGTGTATCCAACTCTGATAGAGGAGCAGTGGACCTGGGAACTGAACCCAACGTTCAAGTCTCTCTTCTCCGACCGCTCAGGCAAAGCGAGCCTTGGAACCTCATCCACTCTTGAATAAGCTGCAATAGCAGCGTCCAAGCGTGAAGTAAATTTGTATCATCTGCAAAGCGCCACTATTCCGCCCGGCCTTCAGCAGCTCGCGGCTCGCTTGGAATGGTAATTTCTGCGCGCGTAAGCATAGAAATAGAGGAACCAAACCGAGAGGAGTTCTGGAAGAGGCGACTCGCCTTACGGCCCCACATTAAGGTGGTCGGGACAGACCACCGGGCCAGTTCCTTTTGACAAACTTCGATGGCGCCCTGCAGCAAAGCATCGATTGCCCGTTAGTACAAAGGTAGGCTCTGAACTGGCGCAAGGTACGGAACAGGCTGCGTGAGCGATCTGGAATCCCGTGTCTTCTCTCTGTGCCGCATTCGGGTTACTGAATGTTAGACCGCATTCCGGCGCCTGAAGTCGAGCGATGATACTGTCGGGTTGACAAGTAGCCGAGCAGTCGTTTCTCGTCGCTTGCTTGATGCTTTCATTTCGAAGTTCTACTTAATTGCTGAAACTTCCTTTCTCTTCCGATTCTGCTTCCTTCGTTGCAGCCGTGTATTCGTTGCCATCTTTCCTCCACAACATTGGCCTTGGAAACCGAGCCTCACCTTGAGCTCCTTGTTGAGCGCGCGCGTGACAGCTGTCAGCGCGAATCCCGCCATGCCAGCTGTCAGGTACGGACGCCGGTACACCATGGCGTCCTGCTCGTCCAAAACGTACGGCCCGCAGCTGTTGAGCGTGCTGTCGCTCGCCTTGATCGGGTCCTGAAAGCGGCGGATGAAAACAATAATTCATTCCTTCCTTGTTCAGACTCCGCCGGCCGCTCATGCTACAAGCGCAACAATTAGTCGATGCGCGTTTTTGGGTGCCTGATGTTGCGACGTAATTGGAGTTTGACGAAAACTCCTTCCGGACCTGACTTGTTGCCCCAGTAAGGGTGATCTGTGAGCATTCTGAGTTGGTCGGTTTCTGGTTACAACTGTCCTGATAGATCTACCGGACCAAACTGTTGCCGGCCTCGAACGGGTTCTGCCTATAATGAAGAGGGGTTTGGGCACAACTGAAGTTGGTTAGCGCTCAACCGGTGTCCCGAGTATTTTCAACAGCTTCCGACCAGCACATTGGCATGCCGCCTTTATTGAAAGGAATGTGAACGCCTTAAGGAGTCTGTTTTTAAAAAGCGGCGACGACGTTCTTTCGAGCCTGCCAAGGATGCAGAGCCTAGTCAACAAAGTGAGAAAGAATCGAGAAGAAGAGACCCGAATCTGCGTCAGCTTTTATCACAGCTCCTGAGGTTTCTGGTAAGTTTCCAACAATTGCTAGGCGTTCAGACGACCTGGAACTCTCGAAAGAAAGTTTGTCAAATGCCAAAATCTGACGTTTGAAAACTCAGTCGGCCACCACCTACCTGAGCGAAGACCTCGCCTAGTAAGAAGGTAGAGAAGGTCGAGAGGGCGCCCGGTAGCTTGGCGTGTTGGCTTGTCACCGGGGCGTTCAACAGGACCAGACGCTCAACCCGGTCGGGGTTAGATGTCGCCCATCGAATGGCCGCGGGGGCGAGGTGGCCCTGCACGGTGCCTGGTGGGAATCAGCAAGTTTCGACGCATGCGGGGTCGACAGGTCCGACCAAGCTAGGGAACCCTTGCCCAAGGTTGACTGCCAAGATAGCTTGAGGATTTAAGCTCGGACGTCCGAAACTTTATTCTTGAGACTGTCTGGGGGGTAAGGAGAACGTAAATCGGGGGATGGCCAGGAGAAATTGCAGAGATACGAAAGACCAGAGGAGTTTATAGGAAGGTTGAGTAGAAAACGTGAAAGGGGCTCAAAGCAGGCCGTCAAAGAATGGTTGCAAAATCGCTGTTTTCCGTCCATTTTCGTGGCTTGACATGGCACCGGTGGTAACGAAGATCGACAGACGGAGTTGGAAGCGCAACTTGTGTCATTCGAAAGGTCGCAATCGACCATCTTTGGGCCCAATGCTCATAAAGCTGCGCGTCGACCAAAAACCTACTTGGCCTCAACGGTTGCCTTTGTAGTACCGACAGGTAGGAGGTACGGTACTTTTCAAGCCATATTACTGCTCTGGTATGTACCTTGGTACATCACGTCATCTGAAAAAGGCATCCGATTGGCTACAAAATCTGAAAAGCCTTTTGCAGCTTTCGGCCGACGCGCACCCTAACATCACGTGGAACTTTCTACGGACTTTTTTGCAAACAGGGAGCGCTGCTCCCGACTGCCATCAAGAGACTATGTTTCTCGTCCTTCTTTCAAGGCGAAGATGCTCAACTCAGCATTTCGGCCGTCCGTCACAGAGCAACTACTCGTTGTAACGTCTAGGGCAGAGATCAGTCAGAGCGTTACCTGCGCCACAAGGGTGACTTTCTCCAGGCTCAGGGCGTCCAAGAAGCTGCCGAGTGCTTTCTGGTACTCATCCAGGCCGTAGCTAAAGCTGGGGCCGGGCTGGGGCTTGTCGGAGAAGCCAAAACCTGGACCAGACGAACGCATGTTCAGGACTTGTATTCTCCGGTTAGAAGCTTGAGCGGGTTGTCGAAATAAGCCCCGGGGAAAGACGTGACTAAAGCTTGGCTTTGAACTGAAGGCCTTGTAAGGATCCAGAAGGACTCGTCAGGGCGAAGAGGAGCAGTCAATGGACTGCGATCCAATATGTTTCATTTCCTTCTACGTCAACCGTCTCGTTTCCCCTGTCCCTACTTTGCGAACCTCCAGTGCTTAGCGCCTCTTGATTGCAATAAGCAAAAGGCTGCATGTTGGCAGGAGAGAAGCTGCACGCAGAATGCTCAGGGTTTCCGACAGTCAGTACGATGCCCCCACGTTATATTTCTCACCTAGCCAGTCGGGTGCGATGACCCGATACCCTGCCTCTGCCAGAATAGGTAGCACCTTTCGATAGGAGTATGCCTGTGACGGCACCCCATGCAGCAGCACGACGGGGGGGGCGCTTTCCTCTCCCTCTTCAACATAGAACCATCTGCGCAGAAACGCAAACGTACGATAGCATGAGTTGAGATTGCTCTTTTCGTGGGCCGTGGCCTTTGAAGGAGATGCTGCCTAAAGGACGGAAGGAGGCGAACGCACCCGGAAGCCGCCTTTTCGAGATTGTTGAGGTTAAAAATTGGAGGCAGAGGGCTGGAAAAGACGTGAAAGATAAAAAATTTCAGGGAACTGTGAATCTATTCTGCTGGATGCTTTTCCGCAGGGCCCCTGGAAGGGAAGGCCGCTATCAGAGCGCTACAGAGGTCATATTCCGATGCTTGCGACCAATGGCATTGGAACTTTCTCATCTTAGCGTTTTTCAATACAATCCGCGGCTTGACTTTTCTCCACTTGCCAAGAGCCGGGAGCCAAATGTGGGTGAGGTTTGGAGCCCCTCTCAAGAGACAAAGAGGATCACAGCCTAGGGGAGTCAAACAAATCTAAGCGCCGTAGGGTCACATCGCAGCGCCAGAGGATAGGGGCTGACAGCCAGGCAGCTGCAAGCGGCCAATAAGAAGAAGCATACCAACCTGAGGCCAGACTCTCCTGTCTGCGAGTTCTCCCCCATCTTGAGCCCAAAGATGGGGTCCTTCACTTCTCCTTTAGCCCCTCTTAGAGCGTACGCCTCAACAATCTTGCCCCTCTCCTGCCACTCCTCATAGGGCCCCGGTTCTTGGGAGTACATACCCCCCGCAAAGCTGAAGCCGTCGCCATACGATAAATCGGCGTCCACCAGATAGTACTGAAGCAGTAGAAACAGACTTTTAGAAGTTTTGCATCTTGACGACGAGTCTGTAAATGTGTTGGTAAGACGGCAAAGTTCATGTGAAAACTCATATTCATTGATGATCATGAAGATTCTGAATCAAGAAACAGTCCTCTTTCACCTGAGTTCCTTATCGATGTTGAAGCAAACCATGATAAGTAGTCGGTTTAGGCTAAGGCAGGCTCCTGAGGCTGCCCCGAATGAAGTGTTGTAAGGGCACACTGTCCCTCACGCATTCTTGAAGTGTTGAATGTAGTTCTCCCCTAATGCAGCATTGGGTCTTCAAAGCGTCGTTGATCTTTGTTCCAAGTTGAATCCGCAGTTAGAGTCCGAGTCCAGTTTGGGAGTCATACGGACCCTGAGCTTCCAGGTGAGCACTTTTGCAGGGATTTCAAAAAGAAGCTGCACCAATTATTCACAGCATTGTGTAGAGCACGCTCACAGCATTTGCTCCTGATATTACTTTCATTCTGGGCCTATTGTTCTGAAGTAGGTGTCTTCCATCAGGCCACATCAGGCTATTGGTACTTACATCATCCTTCCCCATCTGGAGGCGCCCGACGCGACTCTTCTGCCCTCTGCCTCCCCACAGCTGCTGGCACTGTCTTGTCATGTTGCTTGGTTGCTTGCGGCAGGACCCCAGGGAAGTAGATCTCTCAGACTTGCAAGGTCTTCTCCTGCCAGCAGGAATGACTCCACACCACATTTCTGCGAACATGGATGAATGCAGCCGCAGCTTTGCAGAGACGAATGGCTTCTGAGATTCCGCTTGTGTCTCAGAACGCTGTGAGCTGAGAATTGCAGCAGCATGATGGCTCCTGGCACTGAGTGCGGTGCTGTTCGTGACCATAATGACGCCGTTTGTAACGTCCAAGAAAAGACGGGCAACTGATCAATGCAAGATGCTCATGTTTAAAGATTGCTTGGTTTCTATGATACAAGAAGAGTGTCCCTGCTCGAAAGAGCTCCAAGAGCTCAGAGATTCCACAACCGCTCTTCTCTGCTGGGGAACAAGTTCGCAGGACGGTTTGCAGCAAACCCCATGCATAACCAGGCGAAAATGCAAGCCACCAAGTCTTTCCTGCCGTCGGATGGCACGGAGAGTCTTGATGCCGCGGACTTTGGGCCGACCGATCTGTGGTGTTGCGCGCGAGCACTGCAACTTGCATTCTGTCGGGTTTGAATTTCAAACTGCTGCTTGCAGGGAATCAGGGAATTGCCGGACTTGCTCGATCAGATCTCCATGAGGGCCGGCCCCTGGTGCAGGGAGGGTTTGTTCACACGCAAGACGAGGTGAGATGACTAGGCAAGGAGCCGCCCTGCCGCCTTCCGAAGTGTGGTTCGCAAGGCTGGAGAAGTGCCCCGTTTGGCGCCCTGACGCGCGTGCCGCCTCCTGGCCCTGTGGCAAGCAGGAAGCCCTGCTGGGCGTCGCCCACCCCATGCGTGTCTAGCAGCGCATTGGCGAGCGCATTATCGCTGAGCATACGACCTGCAGGCTTGGCAGCAATGAGCCGCCAGAAGTGAGCGGGGCTTTAGCCAGCATGTGAGATACTTTGCCCAGGTAGGCGCCACCGGAGCAGGGAGTGCTAGCTGTGCGGTTGGGAGCCCCTTGGGAGCATTTTGGAGGCTTCTACCTATTCCGGCTTTGAAGTTGTTCATATCAATTCTAAAGGTCACAGTGTCAAGGAGACGCACAAACCGGGCGTTTACAGCGCACAGCATATGCGGTCAGCGATTTCTAGTGGTTGGCAGCATGGCGGCGGCGTTGGTCAGGGCGGCACCAGCTATAAGTATTGCAGGGTCTGTAAGTGGCTCAACAATCGCCAGCAGGCCAAGGAGTGGGCCGTTCCTTGATGCGGGGCTGCTTCGACAGAGGCGTTATCAACAAGCAGCGCCTTCTTCATCAAGCAATCGTCAAAGATTGACTCCTCTGCATCATAGGGTTCATGCGGTGTTAAAAGGTAAGTTCGTCAATCATGTTTGTTCTCAAAGACTTGATCAGGTACCACTCCCAGTGACTGCACAGATGAAATACATGGCGGGCATGTGGCTTTGACCTTGGTATTCTAAGCTGGCAACTTGCCTACTCTTGTTCTAAGAGAGTTCAATTAAGGAAAACCTTCAGCTTATGTCAAGAGAGGCACCTTCAAGGTGATGTTGAAGCTCGCCATACCGCATTTGTTCATGCAGATCCCTCTGGCTCGAATCAACCAAGACCGACAGCGTCAAATGGGTACAACGCATATATTGTCGTCCAGCAAAAGGATACGCTGGCATCGATTGCACGCTCACACAACACCACAGTTGACGAGATCCTGGCCGTCAACCCCTCCATTTCTCCAGCAAACCTCACCATATATCCCAAGCAACGCCTTCAGCTTCCCCCCTCTCACCTGCCTTCGTTCCTGCCCCCTTCCAACCCTCAAAATAGGTCTCACCAACCAATAGCTAGCTGCCAATCTGTTGCCTCACCTCCGTCTCCAGCCTCACGACAGACTTATGCAATGGCATGGCTCTTTGCCATTTCCCTGTTTGCTATACTTGCCTATGTCACGTGGAATTGGGAGATGCTCGCCAAATTTGTGTGGTCGGCTGTGACTGGAGCGCATAAGGTGGGGGAAACGGGCGGCAAGCAACCGAAGGCAAGTGTAATACTCAGACGTCACGTAAAACCTCAACGATGATTGCAAAGCTGAACATACGACTGTCAGATCTTTGGCATCTGCAGCCAAGCAAGCGGCTGGCCGCTGAGACTGCAATTACACTGACATGGGTAATCCTCACTGACCTTGCGCGCCTTTTATATATCAGCTGGCTGCGTTGACTTTAATGTAAGGGGTAGAAAACGGACGTCCTGAGTTCATCAAACGTCTTGATTGGCAGATGCCTTTGGCAGTCAAGGGTGCTGTCTCTCATATCCCAATACACATTCCTTGAGCTTCCAGAGGTCCTTGTTGTCTTGCAGGTGAAAGTCCTAGTGGTGGTTCGCCCGGGACAACCTTGGCTGGAGCTGACTGCCATCGGCCCGATCTTAGCGGGGGAGCTCGTATGCAAAGCGCAGCTTCTTGCTGGTGCCTCCGGTGTACTGTACAATCTAGACGATCCCCTACTGCCGTACTACGGGCTATTGTCTGTGACCACACTGGAGGGTGGAACTTTCGTTTTTGTGCGTAAGTGCATGAGCCGAACCCCCAACGGACCAAAGCATTCTGCAAGTCAACAAGGGGATTGCTGGCTGTATATCATTTATGGGCAGTTTGCTAGTGGTGCCAAAAGGCATGCCGCAGGGCCTTGTATGGTCGCATGCACATGTGACGGCCTCTTCTACTGCTTCTACAGCCATTTTGTTTATTGACCTTCCGTGACATGTAGCGTTTCAATTTTGTCCGTTTCTCAGGCCCTCAAAAAAGAGACAATGTTGCCACACAAAACATCATCGGCCTCAGACTAGACGTGTTGTCAAATTCCCACGTCACAGTCTCCGGTCTTAGGTCATGTGACGCCCCGCACCCCGCCACCCGCACCCTGGATCCCGCACATTGGACCCCGCACAGCAAAGCCGACCCCCAAGCGGAACGATGACCTCATACCCAGCAAGACCTGGCAGATGCGCGAGCCCTGATAAAAACTGACATGGAAGAGACACTAAATAAGGTACGTCCAACCTGAGATTCACGTTAATCGGGATCCACGTTTCTTCAGCATGCAAATCGCGATGTGAACATGCTGAAAGGGTGCTTCCTACCTGGTCAGCGAGCAGTTTCATGTTATTTATGAAGTAGACAACAAGAAATCGTGGGCCACATCTCTCAATTGTGGCGTGGGCATACAGCTTGGACACGAACCAAGGTCAACAGCCCTTAGCAGAATCTGCAGCTGGCCAATTTCAATATCTCCTCAATCAACAGTTGCGACGTCGGAGATCGAGATGGCCTTGATTCTCGTAAAGCAGCGGGCTTTCCTTGAACGGGCAGCGGCGCTCACGTACGGAAATGTTTGGAGAAACGGTCATAGATCACCGTGTGTACGGCTCTTCTCAGGCTGGATCTTGGGTTATGGTTACCATTTATATGGAGTCATTGAATCCGGCCGAGCTGAAGGATTAGTAGCGTCAGTCCCCAATCGATGCGGACAGACTATAGAAGATCATTAAGGATTTGTAGAGGGCCAAGCCTGAAGAGGCGAAGATAATGAAAAATCCTGCAGCAGATTCACATCGAAAGATTTTGGAGCCTTCATTTTGAGCATCCATTTTCCGACTTTGCTTTCTAATGCTTCCTTGAACTGCAACTTCGAATCTCACTGTCAATTCCAGTGCACATGATGCTAGCTGGGGAACATCCATCTCTTTCAATTTTCCTCGAGAGGTCCTGATTCATGTAAAACTTAACAGCTTTCATCTGATCTATGCAAAGAGGACGGCCAGAAGGGGCTTTGGTCTTTTGGTCATAATGCCTGCATGTTCCGTTCACATTTTGAACATTATTTGATCTGTCATATGAGTCCGATCCTGCTGTGAATTTTGATGCGATTTCACAATGGATTCAGTGAGCAGACCACAACGTTCCTTCAATTAGCCTGAATCAACCGCTTATGTACTGCCTACTATTGCATGGCGAATTAAGCACATAGTGCATTTTGTTGAGCTCTTCACTCAGTGATCCGTGGCCCGCATGCAATCAACGGGTATGCGGCGAGCTCTCAGCCACAAGCTTCCGTTCAGAAATTGTTCGCATACAATTCTGGCAGCAGCTGAGTCTGGGTGCTGAAACGCTAGCGACCGGCCCCGCTTTTTTAAAAATCAGGCTTGCTGATTTTAATTGCATTCTGCGCATCCCCAGACTTGCATACTCCAATGTTTTGGCTCCAATGATTCGAGTGTGCTTAAGCATTGTCCACAATCAACATGGTTACCGCGACTGTACTCCATGTTCATGATTTGGAAACATATGTGATGTACTAGCTCACGCGTACATGTGACGGGAGGGCAAGCGGCGGGCCGCTGTGTGAAATGATTGATAAATCTCCATCCCACATTGAAGCGTATTGAAAATATGCATCATGCTTGTCCTGCAGTCATTTCAACTGCATCTGTAGAGCTGCTTAATCCGCCGGACTTATTTGCACGTTGAACTGAGGTCAAGATTTAGTAGGTAGATGCAGATGCCACTTGGGACCGCCTCACCCGACCCAGTCACCATCGGGACGAAAGCAGATGTAAAGGTGCAGTACCAAACATCACAGCAAAACCATAGCAGCAACCCAGGCGATGTTGACTCACAAGAGGTGAGCATAAGAATTAAACCATGCATACCCCATGATTCATTCTAAGGGCGCTTGGAAATGAAGACTGCATTTTAAACCTCGTCAGCATTTTACTTAACAGACACACTGCTTAACCTTGGCTATCGGCCGGAAACTTCAATCGGAAAAGTGCCGCGCGTCTCTGCCGAAGGTTTCCAAACCTTGAACTCAGTGAAGGCTTTCTAAACCAAGATCTACCTTTTATCTCGGGCCTCCAATCTCCAACTCTGTGCATGTGTCGCACCCGGAGGCGATGTGAGCGCTGACTCGCTCAGTCAGCGTTTGCATCATCTCGGGCAGCACTGCAGTAAGAGAAGTGGTTCAGGCTGGATACTCGATTGTATGCACTTGTGCTTCTTTCCCAAGGTCAGTGAGGAAGAAGGCACATGTCCTGAATTTTGACAAAGACGGAGTCGTTCCAGAACGCTGATGGGTGATGTTCAAACGAAGGGTTTGGGCAGGAGTCGTTGATAGGCTTTCCTGAAGCTTCTCCCAACAAACTTTTGTTTTTTGGCTTCGATACAAGTTGCATTAAAGATGCACCTCAGCGCGCGAGCTAATGGGCCGGGGTCCACTGCTGAGAAGGGGCTTCGACGGTGAACCCAAGATCGAAGACTCTCACAAATCGAGAATTGTGCACGACCAACCCAAGTTCATAATTCATTCCCCCTGAATGTCCTAGAAGCAATGAGCTCAATCAGATGGCAGAGAATTTCCACAACAACCGTTTTAGAGCAACTTGTTTATCGAACCTCCTGGTAAGTCGGAAGCCCGACCCCGTTCCAAAAGGCGACACTCGCTTGCAAGTTCGCAGCCAATCACGACAAATCAGTCCGACAAGGTAATGGGAGCGCATTCTCACCTGCGAACGCCCCCTTGGACAAGTCTACCAGATCACGCAGTGCGAAAAAGTCCCCGGGTTCCAGCAGGTACCGCCGCGAACCCGCTGGCGCAAGCAGCCGCCGTTTCGCCGGGCAGTGCCTAACCGTGGTGGTTACCATCTTGACCAGCCGCTGACGAAGCTCCTTAACCCGGGCCAAGGCAGGGACGCGCGAGTAGAGGTGCGGGTTGACGGCGCTCACGCACAGCATCGGCTGGAAAGGGGAGTGCTTGAAATCTTGACACCACTTTTGGAGATTTTAGAAGGGTTTGGATTTTCAGGGTTACGATGGAACAGCAAGAGGCCAGAACGCAGGTTGAGGGTGAAAACAGGAGCGACAGAGCATCAGGCTTGAAAGCGGAACCACGTGATACCACGCACTGACAGGCCCTGTGCGCCACCGCGACGAGGGTCCCAATTTCGAGTCACAAAATCGCCGAAACGCACCAGTCAGCGGATATGGGAACAGATACGAAGGACCCAACTCGCAGAACGCCGATAGAGTGGGCAAAGCGGAAAAGGAGCCCAGGTGCAATCTCGATCACTGATGACGGAAAGATTGGCAGACTCACAGACTTCAGGCGGACCCCGAACGGAACGAAAGAAGCAAAGAAGTGGACGAAGCACGCTTCCCAACGTTCCCAACGGCAAAATCAGAACGGACCGGAAGACCGGAATAGCGGACGGACCACGCACCTGGTCGTAGATAGAGTCCAGGTACGCTTTTGCGATCTGCGACACTTTGCGGGGACGGAAGTCCCAGTACTGCAGCACATAAGCGGGCAGAATGGCGGTGTCCTTATGGTGGCAGTCGGCGCAGTATAGCTGCCCGCTGTACTCGCATAAGCGGGCCGCCGGGTTCGTCCAGCTGAGGAGGGCGGGGGCGGGAGGGAACGGTTTGTAGCAGCCCGCACACGCGTTGTGCTGAGCCTGGAGAAGAGGGAGCGGGGAAGGTTAAGAGCGGGATAACCTTGTTTAGACACACACGTGAAGATAGTTCGAAGAGAGTTGGACAGACAATGACATAAGCGGGCTAGTCCAGAGAAGGGCGGGGGCGGGAAGGAACGATTGTAGGAGCCCGTACATGCGCCCGCTGAGCCCAAGAGCAGGGGAGTAGACAGAAAACTCGATGCAGAAAAGGGTCCGAAAGGAAACAAGAGGTTTAGCAGATAAGTAAGGTGCTTTAAGTAGAGGGGGGTGAAGGCTCGGAGGAGTGGCTGCGGTCCGTACACGCATTGTGCTGGGCCTGACGGGGCAGGCGACAGACAGGGTTAGGGGCCGTGTTAGCGAGCGGGTTACGGGCTAGTTTGGCTGCGGATAAGCCGCCTTAAGGACCGGGGCGTCTTGGAGAAGAGACAGTTAGCAGCTTGTAGAGGACGGCGATAAGAGGGAGAGTTGGGAGCAGAAAGTAAAACTTCAGCGGGCTGAGGAGGTATTTACTGCCTGACTTGCGGAGACTCTCGCAAAAGTTGGTCTATGACAGGCAATAGGTTGTCTATGACGGAAATTAGGGCAGACCAGTCCAACAGCAAAGCTCAATCTATCCCGGACTTCGCAGTGTAAGGAAAGAGAATGCACAGACTTCGAGCGCAACTGAAGGAGACAGGAACGACCTTGGAAGCCGTACCAGATCCAGATTGGTGATTGCAGACTATCAGAAAGAAAGCAAACCCGCATAAGGTCCTTACTTGCAATTGCCGGCTCACAGATCGCTTCCCCGGCAGGTCCACGATCAAGCGGATCGAACTCCCGAGCACAGCCGGACCCGTTTCGGCCGCACCGAGCCCGCCGCCACCCAAAGCCCCACCTGCGTCCTCCCCCTTGGAGGACCTCGGGGACCCGGCTGACGAAGGTGACGTCAGCCCTGACGTCATCCGCGGGCTCATGACCTCCCCTGCTTCCTCTACCCCGGAAGCCGGTTTAGCTTTGCTGGTTAAGGCTGACCCGGTTTGGTACGCAGAACCACAGAGGAACTTGATGAGCGGAGGGGCGGTGGCTAGCGGGGGCCCCGAGTCAATGAGCGCGTTAAGACACGTTTCGAACAGCTCCTTCCGTTGGTCTACGACGTCCGGATCGGTGCTCCCGAAAAGGTTCCGCTTCTGGGCAGACACCTGGGCGAACGGCAACGGTAAAATCGCCCCCGGTAACGCCCGCCCAAGCTCTGTGCGGAGCGCGGCGAGGTCGCGGTAACGGCGCTCCGTCGTCCAGACCCGCCCGTCCCTAGTTACCGTCTGGAGTATGTACGCTGTGTATGGTTTGGGCCGGGAGAAGGCGTGCGCTGCATGGCTAAGAGACGCGACGAGGCCGCTTTGCTGCGGGGCTTGCGCGGGTTTTTTTGTGTCTACAGTGTTTTCTAGAGGCTTTCTGGGGGAGGCGGCAAGCGTGCTCTTGGAGGGGAGGTTCTGATCAACTTCGATTCTTAGATCCGTGCTAAAACTACGGGTAGATACACTAGACTCGCTAGCTCGGGTTGACTGTTCGACCAGAGGATGCTGATTCAGGTCCTCTTCGGACCGACTCGAGTGTTCCGCTGAAGACTCGTGTCTCGAAACCCGTCGCGGCAGTTTCGGCTCTTCCGCATTTTCTTTAAACCCCCCGTCGGCGCCCGTTCCCAACGGGCTAACCAAAGATTTAACCTGGGCTTCGCTGCTCAGGTTCAGGGGGGTGTCAAGACGCCCTTTCTCCCCGGAAATTGGGCTTCCGGAAGCTGCGGACGGTAACCCGATTTTCAAACCTGCAGCCATGGCTGCCGCTGCAGCGGCCGCGGTCGAACCCTCCGCTACTAAAACCCTGAAGCGAAAACCGCCAATTTCGTTCGAAGAATCTCTAAATAGCCCCTCTCCAACCGGGGACTTCAAACCGCTTGTGGGCTCAAGTTCTCCAGCCGCGCTCCGGTTTTCCGATAGACCTCCCGGTTTCGTAGTCCCCTCCCCCGACAAGCCGCGCTCGCCTTCGTCCGTTCCGTTCCGCTCCACCCCACCGAGAAAGTTCCGCAGGTCCGACGCGGTTTCGACACGAAGCGTCCGAGCGTCCGAAGGGCTCTTGCCATGCGGGGAGTCTTCGAACTCATCGTCGCTGCCCCGCAGAAGGTCCTCGTATACTTCCACCTCCAGGTTTGCCGACCCACTAAACCCGGCTTGTCGAGAAGGAGAGTGGTCACCCTCTCCGTCATTTGACTCGAACGTAGTCAACTCGTTTGTGAGCGGCTGCATCAACGCCGCTGCATTTGTTCCCAACTCCTGCGTCCGCACCGCCTCCGCAGAAACCCCAAACCCGCCTCTCGTCTGCCTGAGCTGAACCTCCCCGGGATTCTTCTGCGGACCCTTCCTGCCCCCGTCCGAAAACGGGCTTCCGGACGCTAATTTCGTCCTTTCGGACGCAAAGTTCACTCTCTCGGACGGGAATTGCGCACGTTCAGACGGGGAGGTCGCAACGTAGCGGACGCCCACCACTTCCACCCTCCGGAAGCCGCCACCTGGCACCCGGGACGACGAGGGGTGCGCCACGTGGCCAAAGGAGCTGGAGGCACGTGACAGTCCCGAGCCGCCGTCAGTGTCGAGGAGGACGTCCTCCATGTCGGTGACCATGTCCAGGTAGCCGTCGTCCAGATTGAGCGGACCGTACAGCTGTCCGGAGACCTGCATTTAAAGAGGAGGTTCGAAGTTTCTTGAGACGGGACTTGCGAGACAGGACCACCTTGACTTCCGCAATGGCTGATCGTGCAGTGGAGCAGGAACTGCTAGATCATGTCCAGGTAACCGTCGTCGAGATTGAGCGGACCGTACACTTGTCCGGAGACCTGCGTTCGGACGAACAAAAGCCGATTGTTCGAGAAAACAACGGGCTCGTGGTCCGGTCGTATGACGGATAAACCTGATCAAGTCGTGTTCAGGTAGCCGTCTTCCAGATTAAGCGGACTGTACAGCTGTCCGGATACGTGCATTGGGACAGACGCTTGAAACTTGTGAAAACTCCATGAAGACGTGTGAGAGGAAAACCACGTTGCGTGTAGAAGAATATGGTTCTCCGGAGGGGCTGCTTAGATAGAACGTGTCCAGGTAGCCGTCGTCCAGATTGAGCGGACGTCCAGATTGAGCGGACCGCACAGCTGGCCAAAACCTGCCTTCGGACGTTAGGGAAGATGCTGAAATATGAGGATTGCGAGGAAGAACCACCTTGACTTCTGGAAAAGAGAAATACGCAGTGGAGCAAAGCGGGATTTAAATGTGTCCGCATTAGTAGCCATCGCCCAGGTAGCGGACCGTACAGCTGTCCGGAAACCTCTATCTGACTCGAGATGGCTTGAGACAACAGCCATTTGAAGATCACGCACGAAGGTCGCTCAGCGATTAGAGATGGTTGGATCATTGTCCAAGTAGCCGTCGTCCAAAGTTAGCAGCCCGCGAAGCTGTAATGAAACGGCCACAAAACTTGTCTGGGAAAGGTAGATAGTTGCCGCCTTTAAAACATGTCAATGAACCTGTTTGTGGGGTCCTCTTTCTTGCACGCCTCTTAGGATTGCTTGAAAAGGTCTTTCCAATGAAATCCTTGGGGTAAGGCTTTTCAAAATGCACGAAAGACTGTCTTTCGATGCCAGGGGGGTGTCTAGCTGTGCGAAACGGGGTGTCTATCTGTGTTCCATAACGACCTGCTGGGATTCGTCTTTATGCTCAAGGAAACGACGACTCCAACCATTTCAGGAAATCAAAACACAAAGCCAAAAATAATTACCGCGTCCAAGGGCGCTCGTGGGCTCGCATCCCCGGTCGTCGAGTCGCTGGCCAGCCTGAACAGGGGGCTCCGGACGCCCACCACGCTCTCACCCGCTGCAGCCCCCCGCGCCGCGTCCGAATCTGTCCGGTGAACCAGGGGCCCGTCGTCCGGCGCGCCACTTTCGGACAGAGATCGGACAACGTCTGAGTGTTGGGCAGCCCCCGAGAGTTTGGCAGCGTCAAATTCCGTCCCGTGGCCCAGCGGACTTCCGCCCAACGCGCCAGTTTCAGGCAGTTGACTGCCGTCCGGAAACCTGACAGCGTCCGCAGATGTTGCAGCGTCCGACGACATACCAGCGTCCGGCTCAGACCCGTCCGCAACTTCGGGCTGCGCCAGAAGGTGCTTGAAGCTCAGGTCCCCAGGGTCCCCGCTCAACTCCCCACCCCTCGTGACGTCACTCGAAAGCCCTGGGAGAACGTCAGCAAGCTCAGGCCCGCCCCAGTGCAACGCTGCCCCCTCCGCTAGGAGCGGTCCAGTCTCACTCTCTAACGAGAACCCTTTGTTTTCCAGGCGTTTCTGCTTACGTCGGTACAACCTCCCTCCCAACATCGCGCCCAGGTCCGACTCCAGATCGTCTTCGCTGCTCGAGGCGGTTTTCACCCCCCCCTTTTGGTTGCCCCCCCCTCGAAGCCCCGGCTCCGTTTCCAACTCGTCCCCAGACCGCCCGTCGAGAATCAGTACCTCAGCCCCCGGCCCGAGAAGGCTGGCGAGTTGCTGGGGACTGGGGACCTGGCTCTGATACGAGTCATCTCCGCTGCTGTACACTATTACGCTCGCGTCGCTCTGGGGGTCACTCTCCGCAGCCTTTCCTGCCCCCCGCTCAGAACCAACCCGCCCCAGGGGGCCTTTCGCAGAAGCGTTTTGGTCCCCCAACCAGCCAGACTTGGACTCTACGAGCCCTGTGCCCTGATTCTGGACTTGAAAATTAGCCGCTACTTTCGGGGGTTTGCTAGAGCTTTCCAGAGGGAGGCTGGGTTTAGAACCGGTTCCGAAGGGCCAGCCTTTGGAGACCACGGACGAGAGCAGTTCCTGAGGTGCGAGGACCCCGTTCCTGACGCTGACGCCCGCTGCCGAAAAAAGCGATCCCGGTGCCCAGGATTCGGACCAGGGCCGAGCGGGCGTTTGAGCCGTTAGCTGAGTAGGCACTCGTCCTTCTTCGTTCTGTTCTCGTCCGACGACGACCCCCTGTCCAGCCCAATCATTGAAAAACCCCTTCTGACTTTCGGACGCCCCTCCCCGAGTTTCAGACGCCCCTTTTTGGCTCCCCGTGCCCATTCCTGACTTTTCAAACGCACCGCTTCTGCTTCCGGATGCCGCTGAGTGGCTGCCTGTCAGCTCTTCAGCCCCCTTTTGCTCAGCAGGGGCCGCTCCTCGACCTCGAAGTCCCTGAAACGCGCTTCGATTAGCGCCGTGTCCCTCTGCAAGAATCTCTCTCTGAACCTCTTCTCTTTGCTTACCTCCACCCGTAAGCGACCCCCCTCCGGGATCGAAACCCCCGACGTGCTCTTCCGCTCTCAGCCAATCTAAACCGTCCTTCTCCCGCCCGTCCGCCACCCCCGCTTGCAAAACCTCCCCGTTCTCGTTGCTACCGAACTCCGCCTCTGGAAACAGTTCGTCAAACCCGCTGCTTGTTGGCTCGCTCCCACTGGAGAAGCGCCGCCAGAAGGGTTTTGAAGCCGGTTGCGAAGTGCCCCTGTCCCCCACCCCATCGCTCGAAGACGGCCGTTGAAATGGGAAGAAAAAGCCCAATCTCGTTGCGGTCTCAGCGTAGTTGGAGGGCTTCACTGTCTCCAAATCGTCTGCACAGTTGGCGGGCATCGCTTCATTTGCGGAAGAGAGCCGTTCAGAGATCATGCCAGCACCGGGCGTAGTCATGGCCTCTGTGGGGGGTAAGGCGACTGGGGGCCGACCAGTTGCTTCTGCCCCCCCGCTGGAGGAGGGCCGCCGGAAGGGGTAACTGAACATGGGCTTAAGAGAACCTTCAGAGATGGTGGAGGCCGCCGCCGTGACAGCTGTCGCGGCCTTATTGGCCACCGTCGGGAGAAACGACCCTGGCTGGGAAAGATCTGGTTGCTTCTCTCCTCCGGTACTTTTTCTGGACACCTCAGTTTGCAAATTCATATCCTGACCCGGAATCAGAATAGACCCAGCTGGTTCCGAACCGTTACTCTCGTTCGAATTCTCCTCCAGAGGAGCAGTGAGTTCCTCGTTTTCCCGGACACCGGCTCCGTCCGTTTGGGGGGCTTGAGAGCTGGTGCCTTCCTTGCCAAGTTGCCCCCCCTCTGTGATGCTGTTGTGAACCCCAATAGGCGACGCGGTTTTGGGCCCAGTACTCAAAGCAGGGGCCGGTTTCGGGAGCACACGCGAGGCCGCAAAGGTGCCCCAGTTTTGAGACGTGGAGTTGACAGTTTTCCACAGGCCCGAGGCAGCGCTGCCGCCTTCTAACACCAGCGAAGCTGCGCCAGTCCCAACGGAGGTCAGGGTGGACCAGCCGGTGTTAAGCACGCCACCTGGATGGAAGAAAAAAAGGTTGAACATGACTTCGGAACCCAGTGGCAGGCAAAGTGGTGAGAATCTTGTGGTGGATCCTTCGCTAGTTCCCCAGTGCTTGATAAGATGTACACACCGATCGCACTTTGGGATTGAAGCCTATTCGTCTAAACTTGACAGTGGTGCTGAATAAGAATGATTTCCTTTGAAAAGAAGAGTAATTTTGCTAGTCTTTCTTGGACAATGCCTGGCAGAAAATAAATAAGAGCCCTGATGTACGCAAAAGTTCGACAGCGAAACAAGGTGCGAAGAACGGCCCTGTGACTTTTCTATCAAAATAGTCATCGCTTCTTCCATAAAGCAGGCCTTACCTGACGCTGAGACTGCTGCCTTTCCAGCACTCTGGCCGCTTTCAGAAAGTTTCGCCCCAGACCCTAGCCCCTCAGAAACGCCTGCTCCCGTGGCACCACCTGGCGCGTCCGCCGGCCCCTCGGTCGTCGCATGGCCCGACTCCCTAACCAACCCCGAACCCTCCTTAAACCCCGTTTCCAAACCGTCAAAACGCAGCGGCCCCAGGGCCATCATCGTGGCCACTAACGCTTCCACGTTATCATGGCTGCGCACAAACGCAATCTCGTCGTACAGCTGGGCCAACAAACCCCCCTTGCCGGACGCCCCTTGCGCAGTCGGAGACAAAAGCGCTTCTGCTAACCACGGCCCTAGACAGCGGCAGCTGAGTCCCAGACGAAGTAACGCCTGAAGTCTAACCGAGTCGGTTGAGGTCCCAGCAACCGCTCTGATTTGCGCGAGGCCACTAGCGAGTGGGGGATAGGAATGGGAGCCCTCTCTAACCCCTGCGCATTCCCCCCCAGAAGATGAAGAGGCGGTCAAATCACCATTTTTGCCACTTGAAACGGCATCTTCTGTCCCTTCGTTTGCTGAGGGGTTTGCGGCTTCGGTTGACTTTTCGGTTGCGCTTGTAACCTCCCTCGGTTGAGCCAACGCCCCGCCGGCAGGTTGCGCAGCAACCACGGCCTCCAGGAAACGCCAGGCACCTGGGGGCGGCTGCTGGGAGGGGGCTCTCCGCCAGCCCCCCATGACCCCCCCGATGAGTCCGTAGCCCCCCTCCGAGACGCTTGGGCGGAGGCCATGCTGCAGAATCTGCTCTAGAATGCTACACAGGTTTGCCACGGCAGAGAGTTTGCCAGGAAGCGTTGTGGTTCCGCCAAGAATGCCAATCGCTAGGGGAGCTGCAGACGCGGCGTCCCTGTTGCCGTTCAAAGCCCTGGTTTCTCCGCCAAGCTGCGTTGCGTGCGTGTCTCCGTTGCTGGCTGAACCCGCATTGGCTAGTTTAAGAAATCCTTCCACTGTCGGAACCGCACGTTCGAGAGCCGCTTCGGCAGCAGGCTTCGCATTTGCTCCTGATACATGGGCTGATTCTAGAAAGACGCACTTCAATGCTTGCTTCAAATGTCCCATCAGTGCCCCAGCCTCAGCAGGCACTTTCTCTGCTGGCCCTTGCATGATGAGCTCAGGAGGAGAGCGCATTATTTCGTGTGGAGCAACGGCGGCATCTGGAGAGTTGGCAGCTGCAAGGAGCACAATCTACTGATCTTCCAGTCTTCTGTTCGTCCTTCTTTCTAACAAGGGGAGACAGCAGCCTCCATTGCTGCTCTAACCTTCCTTGCTTCAAGCCTAATATTATTACGGTAGACCTTGTTTGAAAACAACCTGAAATGCACGAGCAGCTCGACTTTTTGCCCCTACTTTTTGCCTACAATTAAAGGTCCAAAATTCATGTTCAGAAGATGTCTTCCACATTCGCAATTTGTAGCAGACTGTTTTATACTTTATAGCGGATCGAAGGCAGCCCGGTTATGTAGACCATGCCTGTGTCTTCTTTGCTTATAGCCGTTCTATCAGTGCACTTATATACATGCTTTCGAAAATAAAAAAACACACTCGGCCAAAGCTAAATTTGGATTGAGAAGGCCCCAGTCCACGCCAGTCTCGGCTGTACCTAGGGGGACCAAACGCCACTCAAAGTCCGTGAACCGTGTACCGCACCGTCAGATGAGAAATTTTCCACTTTGACGGTCAAGATTGGTTCATTTTGATGTCCCGAGGCCGCTGCGGTCCTCGGTTGGTCTCAGGAGAGGGTTAAGAAGATTGTTAGAAGAAGGTTAATGGGTTTTTGCCTGTGAAACCCACCTAAACCAGCCCTCTACATCTCCTGAGCGGCGTTTTGCCCGGACACGAAACCTCGGGGTTTCGAAGGTGACCCTGTGGAGGTTCAATCCCACCAGTTTTCGGTTCCGGGCAATAAGCCGTTTGGCTGCTGGAACACTGTTCATGTTGCTAACCTATTTACCTGGGGCGTTTGGTCCCCCTGGCTGTACCGTATACCGTACGCGCCTGCTTTCCTGTACTCTTATGAGGGTCTACCGCGGCAGCTCGGAGCATAACCCACCACTTTCACGAGATACAATGAGATTTTTGCAGCCATACAACAAAATATGTCATTGATCAGCGATCATCAGCCCACTTCCAACTCACATTCTGCTTCAAGAAGCTTGTGCAGATGAGAGTGATCGGAGGCGTCTTCTCTGTCCAGTTCTCTTCTGCTGTTTGGGACATTCTCAGAACGTTGAGTAGGAATTTAGGGCGCTTGAACGTTGCACCTTGCCTCGATTCGCTGCATCAGCGCAGTTCAGTGAGTGGGATAAATCTGTGATGTAAGTTCTATAAAGTTGAAGCCAGCTCTGGAGTGGCAGGAGCACCTGTGATCGGGCGGCGGTCTCAGTTCCCGCCAAACAGATTCACTTCACAGGGGAACAACCTGCTGGCTTGTGAGTGCATCCTTAGTGGCACTCTAATGTTTAGTTTGTAAAACGCTCAAATCATCAAAGGCCCCGCAACCTGGAAATGCAGCTACCCAGCTCAGTGCAGGCGCCTTCTAGAGACACGCCATAATGTTCAAATCTCAGTCTGCCGGCCCGCCTCCCAAGAGCAGCGCCTCCCCTCCGCCCTCCGTCAGGATCACGGTAGGCCGACCGGCGTATCGCCCTGGGGAGCAAGTGATCGCTTCCATCGACGTGCACAATGAGCGGTTTGTGCAGCATTCTCAGGCGAGGACGCCAAACGGTGGTTCTCAGAGCTCGGCCGTGGCAGACTTGCAGCATGCGGTGCTTATCAAGGACGTGTCTGTGGAGATCAGGGGGATGGAGAAGGTGGATCCGACATGGATTATGACGCCAAAGGTCAGCGGGGGTGGAGGTGGCAGGGGTAAGCAATTCGCCCTGCTGTGTGCTTCGTCTGCTGAAGTGCAATAGAAGCGTGCGTGGAATTGGGGGGGCATGTGGTGGCGCCTTGCGCCGCAGGATAGATATGGAGTCGCATCGAGTGATTGGTTGAGCTGAATTCTTGAAAGTTGCAGTGCGTTCACTGCAGTGCCAATGGTGCAAGTCTTCGTATTTGCCTACTGTCAGTAGAGTGCAGATGTCAAATAATGTGTCAAGTCTGAACCAGACCCTTCAACGCCCTGTCAACAATCTATGAGAAGCAAACACTGGGGACAAATAAGCAGCATGTGCCATTTGGCAGTGAGATGATCCAATCATGTTTGCTAACACTTGTTCTCTTTGTCTCCATCATCAGGAGAGCGGCTCATCCTGACATCCGAGGTGACACCTCTTGCCTCAAACCTGCTTCTGAAACCAGGAGGCACCAAAACATGTGAGTTTTGAGAAACACCGCCAATTTCGTTTCAGCACCATCCCTTCTTCAACGATCCCTGTACTTCTTCCTTCCTGGATACATGCCTGGCGGCCTTTTGTTCAATTGCTTGCTGGCTACAAAAATGTGAGAAGCCGAGGTCACCTGGATGTTGCAGCTCGAGTAAAAGAAGCATTCTCTCAGGGGGCTTCTTCACATCAGGAGATACCGTCCGAGTGACTCACTGCCGTTCTCGGAGTCTCCTCTCTCATATTGTCGCTCTCCATCTGCTTGCATCCTTATCGCACACCGCCCAGCGTTGACAATATTCATCTACTGCTTGGTCTTCTGCTCAGAACGCTGTCCAACATTTGCAGGGGTAATCAGAACTCAATGATCGTTTGCAGGGGCAATCAGTGAATTATTGATCGTTTGCAGGGTAGTCGGACATCTCCTGATTGTTTGCAGGGGTATTCAGATATTGACTGATTGTCTGAAGGGGTATCAGACATCAGTAGACATCTACTGACCGTTCATTCGCACGCTTATGTTTCGGTGGTCATCTCTCACAGGGGCAATTAGGGCCACTCTCCCCAAAGTCCTGCCACCATCCTACCGCGGCACCGCTCTGCGCTATGCTTACTTCATCGTCGTCACTGTCACTTATGGGCCTGTCGTCATGGCGGCTGACGACCCCAGTAGCTCCGTTCAGCCTACACAGAGCACGCTCCCAGTGGTGAGAAACTGCGGCACACTGTTCGTTTTTCGGGAAAGCTGGGGTGCATTTTGCAGGCTCGCTTGGTTGGCTGCATCTCTCGCTAAACGTTCCAAAATGTCGGAAATGGCATCGTGAGATTGGACCCAAAACCAGACCCCGTCTGTTTCAGGTCGAACGGGCGCCCTTCAGAGTTTGGAGCCTGCCAGGCGCGAGCGGGCTCGGCGAGGAGGCGGAGGATGGCATCGAGCTCTACGAAGATGGTGGTGCGCTTTCCTACTCTCTTGTTTCCACTTTTTACGAATCTAGACATGCATTCAGCTTCTGCGGCGCCTAATTTCTCAAGGATAGATGTGGCCGTTGAGTGTAGTAACTTGTTTGCACTTATTTCGAATTGGTCAAATTTTACGGCGGGTGTATCTGATCCCATGCATTGACTCTCTGTATCAGCAATCGGATACCCAGTCTCCAAGCGCATCACTTTAAAGTATCAATAGGCTGCTCCTTCTTGACGTGCAGACCGGCCGTTGGTGGTTTCGCTTCTGTCACACCAAGTCGCAGCTCCTCGATTTCGTCCTTTGGCAAGAACCGCCTTGCCAAAGCGTCCATGCTTTTGATTTCGCTTGAAGAGCACTGTGGAAAGAAGCGGAGTCCATCTTCAACAGACATTGCTCCATTTGGTCAAGCATATGCTGCCCTTTTATGCAAGCCTGATCAGACTTTTTGCAAAAGTCCATATTTTGAGAAGCCTCGAACAAGCCGTTCACCAATCGCTTGGTTTGCTCAGGCGCTCTAAGATTGAAAAAGCATCCACATCCGCCGCTTCAGATCCTTCACCCATCTCCGCTTCGTCCCCTTCTTCTCTGGCCCGCTTTCTGCCCGAGACCCTCCCTTGTTCCATTGCGGCAGCTCCTCTTGAGAGCAATAGGTTCTTGTGGATTCATCGGCGGCATTGCCCGGGTCAGTTTCCCCTCCGTCAAGGCCCTCGGCTTTGCCTTTTGCCTTTGCCAAGTCTTGCCGAGAAGTTTTTCTTTGTGAGCGACGGGCTCTCTTTTACTCATAACCCGATACTTCAATTCTCCAGGCATCGTCCCGACCAGCCCGGTCGAGATTGGCATCCTCTGCCGCGAAAAGACCGCCCGGTCGAATTGGATTGCTGCTGCCGAGGCCCTCTCCGGGGGGGAGGAAGACGACGGTGATCCACCCCCCCGAAACGAAGCCTCCGCCTCGCAGCCTATAGAAGTCCCCGCCAAGTCCCCAACCTTGAGAGCAATTTCTTTGCCGGTCGACCGGACACCCTTCCCCCCCGGATCTCCACTGGATTCACGGGGATCCCCCTCAGCCTTCTTCCTAGGAGGGTCGCAAAGCATCCCCGCATCCCGCACGCAGTCCAACGGCACAGGTATAACCACTTTATTCTCGAAACCTTCGTTGAGATTTTCGGCTTGTCCATTCTTGCCTGCGCTTTGGTTCGCGGCTTGACTGCTCATTCTGGCTCTAATGAATGTAATGGCAATCGCAGTGTGTTTTCGCAAGGTGTGAAGCTGTGTGGCTCCTAGCACGGTCTGTTGGTCCCTGTCAAGAGTTGGTGCAACGTGCTCCGAAACTGGCCTCCAACGTCAAGGCACGACTCTTTTGAGTCTGTTCGTTTTCTTGTTATCTCCACGGAACAGTCCCCCACGGTCCACGCCATAAGGGTGCCCGCTCTCGTCGCTCATCCTGCTTTACTGCTGGGTTGAGCTTTGCCAGTGACTTCTAAGACCGTCACGAGAACATTGAACGTCCGGGAATCAATCCCTGGTTTGCGAGCTTGGCGAGAATGGGATGTCGAGTCCTTCTCGTCATCCAAGGCTGCCCTGAGACTGCTTCTGCCGATCTGTGACGGAGTCCACTGCTGTTCTCACCTCTCATTCCCCTCAGGAAAGTAAGTGTCCACAGTATGGGTTTCCGCTGGATGCCAATTGGCAAGAAGAAACAAGAAAATCATTTGATTGAATCAGGAAGAGGAACCGCGAGTAAGGAAGCCAGGACATTATCTTTAGTAACTCTCCGGACGTCCTGCTTAAAGATCTCCCTCATCCTCTCCCACCCTAACTCTCAGAGCTGGCGGACGCCCCCATTGCGTCCAAGAGCGGCAACGGCACCCCCGAACTAGAGCGGGCCAGCTCCCTCGACCTGCGCGCTTTCACTAGCACCCCCATTCCGCCCGCTCCGGGCATCTTAGCGCGGAACGACTCAGACGACATGTCCTCCCCGCCCCCCTCGCCTTTGCTCTCCGCTATAAGGGGAAGGTAACTGAGCATTTTCAAGAGGTTCCTTCACCCTTTCAAGCAGAGAGCGGCCGCCTGTTTGGTTCTGTAAACCGGGTTGCCAAGACCGAGTACTTGCAGGATTGCGCCGTCTTCACGCCCTCTTTTCGCGGTCGAAGTTCGATTGGAGACTGCTCAAATGGACGCTCGCTGGGCTTCTTTCCGTCCGATGCACAGCGCAATTAACCTGACGGCTAGCACTTGCGGATGTATCCACTGCGCATTTGTTCTGTCTCTTAGTAGACGCGTCTGGTGTGTTACAAGGAGCGTCGGAGATGCATGGGTTGGAAGGTTGCTTTCCGTTGCCTGAGTCTTTCTGCAGTGAGGAAGAGCTGCGTCAACACTGCAATCTTTTATTGCTTTTACTTGAGGACCTTTGCTTTCAAACATTCGGACGGTGGCGTCCTCAATGGACGGCCGTTCTTTGCAGGACGTACAACATCCGAATAGGGGACCAGTTGCTGGTCCGCTTCTCTCCGCGAAACCCGGAGCCTGTTTACACTTTGGGGGACGCAGTCTCGGGAACCCTAGACTTCAGCGACCACCGGCCCGGCGAGCGGCGATGTCTCAAGGTCGGACTGTTTGCTATTTTCCTTTCCTGCCCCTTTCTCTGTCCATGTTCTTACCGATTCCTTGTTCTCGTCTTCTCTCCCGGTATCGGATTTGTGCCGGCGGGGCTCTGGTCACCTGGGGTCATCTAGTGTAAGAGCTATAATTGACTGCTCCCACGCAAGGCGAGAAGAGCCATTCTTGTCTGGGAGTGGACTTGAACCACCGACACAAGGATTTTCAGTCCTTTTCGCTAACCAACTGAGCTACCCAAACAGAAGATTAAGACTATAGGAATGAACCAAGTCAAAGAATTGTTTCTTGAACAAAGCTGACTTCACACACACGGCATGCTTCACCCTAGCCAACCTAACACTGATGCCGACTGACATAGTCTGTAGTCGACGGAATGTCGAGACGATCTCCTACAAAGTTGCGGCTGTCGGACAACGGCGTTTACTCCTCTGTTCTGTTCTGTCCACGTTTTGAAGAGGCCATGCGGAGATGCTGCGGTTCAGATTCGTGGGTTGCTTCCGTAGATCTCGACACCCATTCGACTTTCTCAACCAGATTGGCTTTAAAGAATTCACCATTTTGCGCCGCGTTTATGATTCTGCTGACCCTGTCCTTGTCTCCCTCCATCCGCAGGTGTCAGTGACGCTCGAAACGCAAGAAATCGTCACCCCGTCCTTCCTGCACCCCTCCCGCCGCGGCCCCTCCGGTTCTCAAATCATCCCAAAGGTACAGACCGAGTACCACGAGCTGTCCGCCGACCTCATTCACACCCACTTTATCTTCACCATCCCGGGGGACGCCCCACAGTCATTTACGACCCCCCTGGTCGACGTCAAGTGGACGCTCCGCTTCGAGTTTTTGGCGTCGCCGCAGGCGCGAACGGACGGAGCGAAACTAGATAGGCGGGCACAGCAGGATAGGATCGAGAGGGCCGAATGGGCGATGCCGGTTTTAGTTCACGCCCCACTCGCAGCGGAAAAAGCACCCGCCGCAACGAAACGGCGGGAGGGCGGCTCGGCGCGGAAGGAACGGGAGGGCGGCTACCAGGCGACGTCACCCGGTGCAAAGTCGCTAATGGGGTCGCCGAAGACGCTAGACTTTGGGGACGTGCCAGCCCCGCAGGATGACGCTGTCGATGAGAGCGAGCAGGAAAACGACCTACGCTAGGTTCTTAGTGCTTGCTTCACTCCCACCATTTTGGTCGCTGGTATCATTTGTGCAACAATAAAATTGTTAAGTTGAGTATCGATAATGTTGTTTCGCTCTTTCCGCGAGTTGCGGAAAGACATCAAACCAGGTTGGCGACATGAACTTCCACATGGCTGTCTTTGGATCGGCAAAATCAGTCAGCCCGCCTAGCTGCTTGAGGTGGTCTTCATGATGGTTCAAGATGCAGCCTTTTCGATCGGAACGCCTATCAAATGTTGCATGCCATTGGCCGGACATGAATTTCTCATTAAACTGCATTGATGCGTGCATGCAGGTAAAGATGTTTTCGAAGAGGATTGCGCAAGTCTCGAGTCTTCCAGATCGTATACATGGTGGTTGCTTTCCGTCACTACACATATACTTATGCAGGCCGGCACGCGCCTACCCAGCCTTCTAATGATTGTAATGAAGACAGGGTCATGCATGACAAAAACGATTGTCAAATGATCAAGATACCAAGGGACACATGCACAGCTTAATTTTAGCACGCTGAGATCCGGTGCATGCCACTGGGCCGGCTGCAGAAAGCAGCTTAGGTTCAAGTGCATTCAATCATTGTTTTTAAACGATCAAAATTCGGGTAGATCGTCCATCGGCTGTGTTCCCGCTCTTAACCCCTTTCCCGACGTGCTTAACTGTGTTGTTCGGATTTGGACTGGTACTCAACCCGTCCTAATCTCGATAAACTCCACCTTCGACTTCGTTCCTCAGGCGACACTTCACCTGCTTTCCGATGATCTTCCGTTCCGTAATTGCAGCTACGAGTGGACAGTGACGTCTGACGTCGGGTATCTCGAAACCAACGTCATCCTCGGCCTGTTCACATACGCCATGGAGATCCTGAGCAGAATCACGGAGAGATCGACATCGAGTTCGGCCGCTTCGGCTTGTCTCCTCCAGGGACCCGACGAACGCCAGTTCGTTCTTCAGCCGTTCAATGCGACTGGCCACCTGCAGGCGAGATCCACGGATCACCATCTTTTGTTGTGATTTTGAGTTCGAGACTTGAAAGTTTCTTTGAGGCCTCTGACCTTTCTGCTTTAGTTATTTTTTGAAGATTGAGTGAGTTCTGGAACGCGCTTCGTCTCCCGGAAACTTTGTTGCAAGTTGGAAGGAGATGCCGTCGAATCTCTTTCTGGTTGGCCACAAATGGAGCACATTGTCCATAGACCGCCCACAAACCGCCAGTCCGTTCTTAAATTTAACCCGCTTTTCTCCGCGTTCCCTCTCCATCAACCAACGAATGACGACATGCCGAACAGGCCATCAGAACTGTACATCAGCCCATTAAACCTAGACCTCAACCGCACACTATTTCCGCCCGCAGAGATGGTATACACCCCCCGTTACCACATCGACTCCCCCCCTCTTCGTCTCCTTCACGTGGATCCCCGGGCAGGTTTACTGGGAGGCACTCAGGCTGGCCTACTCCTCAGCAGCAAGACTTACGCGGCCGGGGATGTCCCCACCCCGGGACCGGAAGTCACGGTCATCAGATTGAGGGTTTACCATCCCAAGTCCAGGGCAATCCCTGGGCCGCTCAATGAGAAAAGTGCTACGGTGTATCTATCGGACTTTATGTGTACGCCGTACTAAGGTTGTTGTCAAAGCACCTTGTAAGGTAGGAAAGCTGTGCTTGAAAATCTATCTCAGAGTCCCAATCCGTTCAGCATCTCGTGAAGCCGGAATCCGCATACTACAAAGAGCTGAGTAGATAGCGATTCCACACTTAAAAGATTGCTTCAGTAGAAAGTATTAGAAGTAAGGGCTTCTGAATTTCAAGACAGCGGATTAGAGGGAGCATGTGAGGAAGAATCGACGACGCCCTCCAAACAATGAGTGGACACCTCAGGGAAAATTGCAAGTACCACAGTAGTTGCTGTCATCCACCCTATGCACATAATCGTGAACCTGCCCGACCAAGTTGTGAATAGGCTGACCACATATAGATGTACGTCCGTATGGTTTAACATTCGCGTCATCATATGCAGCGCAATGTCATGTACCTATCCAAATTGCCGGCCTAACATCGGGCTGATATTGCCACAACCATAATTTCAACAATGAGATGCTTTCAGTGTACTTGGTCAATTAGACGCAAGGATAACAAATTCTGTTCAATGTATCAAGACGTCGAAGATTATGTCATCGCGAACATATGCATCTATGCAAGCAGCAATCTAATTGTATTCACCCTCACTGGTGGGATACCCACACTTGCGAGCAACTCGCACAGATTGCCGGTACTTCAGGAACCGTTGGACTGCCAGCTTGAGGATAGGGAGGCTTTTGAAAAATGGTAGGTTGATTCATTTATTAAATTGACTATCGTACAAGACTGTCTGCCAACTTTTCACTTTCCTAGCTTGCACTAACCCACTTGCAGCTGGTCAGGTAATCCTAACCGAGTTCGTGCTTTTCCCAAGAAACGAGCTCTTTTCGGGAGAAGCAGTCATGGGGGTTAGGATTACGCTGCCTACCGCACCGAGTCATGCAAGCTACTGGTCACGAGACCTCTATCAGAGCGGGTAGAAGCAGAACGCCCCAATAACGAACAGCGAAGCCACCGCCCCAAACGAGACGAAACCAACCACTTTCTGCACCAGAAAACACTAGCTTTGAGGCGTCTACATACATCTTCTCTAAATCTCGACCCTCCAACCGGGTTACAGTGACCAAAAAGCAAATGGCCCGACAACCAGGAGACAGAGAAGGGAGTAGCTTAGTACGAAGACAACCACTTTCTGCAGAGTGACGGAGAAAGGCGTTACTTTGAGCAGTTCGCTACAGTTACTCGGATCAGAAACGCTTTGTGGGCGGCGCACGTCAATTGCTTAAAGGAGGAAATAAATAATGTTCGTCCAGGGACACGAGAGGAATTGCTCACGTTGACTCCTTCAAAACGGAGAAAACTCCAGATAATATTGCACAAAATTCTAGATTGGTTAGAACGGCAGTTTGCTTTCTGACTTCCCACACGCGCTCCTCCAGAGTACTCGTCCTACAGAAGCTTGAACCACGGATTTTGTGAGATGGACCACGATGGACAGCTTTGATTTGCCTTTACGGGGGCTTTCTCATCCGCAATAATGGGTGCAACCACGCGACAACATTCTAAAAACAAGCAAGCGCGATCAGCCGAGAACAGTCACATATCGGATTACAAGATGACCAGGACAAACTCGCTCAGCTTTCCTAAAAGCAGACGATGATGAGCCGGCAAATTGCTGAAAGCATCTGCGTCGCTCGATGAAAGAACTGGTGACATGGTTCAACTTCTGCTCGTCAGCAAACGATGTTCAGTAGGCAAACTGCTACACGCAGCTAAGGCTGATGAGCTTTAAGGCTTTTGGAGTTCTAGAGTTTTCTAAGTTCCGGATCCGGGTTTTGAGGTTCTGAGGTTAACCCACCTTCCGAATGCGCATATCGACCGCCGGGTCGTCCACCTTTTGCATGCCAGTGCCGTCCACATCCCAGACACTGGCCTGCAGTGGACACAAATCCACGTTCAGAAAGCTTGACTAGAGGAAGTCAGGATTCAATTCCAAAGGCTTCATTTTGGCGACTCGCCGCTGAGCACTGAAGTCCCTCTTGTAGCGGTGCCTCTTTTGAAAACGGCGATGAATTTGTCAGCAACAGTACCATCCGCGAAATGAGAGGCATTCCTGATAACGACGCGCTTGACAAGGCCTCAGCTTTTAAAAAGGTTTGGCTTTCGGCGCAAGGAAGAGCCAAAAACGACCTATCGCTTTCGTTTTCGGACGAGCGAATCGTAGATACAGGCAAAGCAAGTCTTTTGGCAGATACTGTAGCACGGGTACCTTCAATGTCGAGATATATCGACGGCCACTACGCAAGGCTTTCCACCACATTTTTGAAATCCCCGCGACCACTAGTGCAGTAGGGCACAAGAGATCTCTGGGGCTGAGAAAAGTCTCAACCGCGATAACTCAAGGAACCGTAAGGCGGGAGCAAAGAAGCAAGTCCCTGAGCGACAAGAGCTTTCGAAGACTGAAGAAACTCACAAAGGCTATGGATCAGAGACCCGTCAAATCAGAGACAAGCAATCACTTCCTGGAACAACGAGGGCTTTTTGATGCGAGGGTGAAGAAGCTTACAAAGGCTATGGATCAGAGACCCGTCAAACCGGAGACAAGCGATCACTGCCTAAAAGAACGAGAACTTATTGAGGCCGAAGAAACTTACAGACACTTTCTACAACAACAACAAAAGCGTTTTCGGGCTAAGAGAAACTTACAAAGGCTATGGATCAGAGACCCGTCAGACCGGACACGAACTCGGCGCCGCCCAGGAAGAAGATGGGCAGAATATACAAACGCTCCCACGGGCTCGCGCGGTTTTGAACCATGATCGTGGCGATAACTCCGCTCACGCCCTGCACAACGGAACGGGAACGCAACCGAATGCACAGACCTATCATGTTGGAGAAGGAACCGGCCCGATCGTTCTTGTGAAGGAAGGTAAACGGCTCCAAGCCGATGCACTAAAACCCAACAACGGAGTGTGAATCTAATCCAACATAAAACAGACAAGTTGTCTCCTTGAAGACTAAGACAGCGAAACCGAGCGGAGAATACGGCTGTTCGGGCAAATCACGGTGATATTGCTGCGGAAAGATTGTTCACAGAAACCAAGTGAAGCGCCAGATTTCAATCTGACAACCTCCTCAAAACATACGGCGAGCACGAGAAGAGTCCTTTGATCGAGCATTACATTCGGCCCAAGTGGATCCGGCTGACACACCCAACAGATATTGTTCATTTCAAGACGCGTATCAAAGAAAATTACCACGGCTGCTTCGGTTTAGGGGAGAATGGAGCAGGCATGATGAGGCTATTAACAACTCTGGTGTCCTTATCTACTGCTGTCAAAGACTTCGTGGAGGTTACCGAGTGCACTTCAAGTGACGTCACTCACCAGGAGAATCAGCCCCAGGAGCATGCGCCGCCTGCGCTCCGCATCGTCGATGTTGACAGCGGCCTCCGCCGCACGCGCCCTAGCCGCTGCACGCTCCTCGGGGGAGCGCTGCACCACGTAAAAGAAGTCAGAAGCCAGCTTAACGAATCTGATTCCGTTTTCTGTGGATGCAGGGGGGAACTGAATTGCGGATATGATTCCGTCTTTGGAAACTCCAGAGGCTCGTGTTAAGGGAAGGCACCACAAACGCCGTTCATCTGAGAAAGTGAATAATATCTGAAATTAATGGAGGAGGGGATCTGAAGGGATTGAGATTGACATGCAACAGAGGAGGTAAGGGCAAGAAGGACGTTGCAGTGTCGTATCTCAAAGAACTCGAGGAAGGCACAAGCACAGTGAGTCGAGTAAATACAGGAAAAGACTTTGCAGACTTCGATAGAGGGAGGGCGACCGAACCTGGTTGCTTCAACTCGGTCCTTCGCAAACAATTCGTCTGAAAATCTCCAAAAGCTCATCATTCTTCCGCCTTTTCGCTCTGTTCGAGCTACAGATCATCGTCGCCCGACGGAAATGGCGTTCAGAGAAGGTCTCCCGAGCAACCACGCAGGGGCTTCTTCACAGCTTGATTGCCTCTGCTTGCAAGCTTTCTTCCGCCCAACCATCAAAATTGACTCTCTGATCGCACATCAAGAAGTCTAGAAAAGCCCGCAGAGGACTAGAGCAAAGAAAGGCTGCGCTCCAAAAACAAATCAGACATTGATAATCAGCCAATCTCCCGATGCCGCAACCAGGACGCCCCAAAGAACTATGGTACTCACGTTGTCGTCCGTTTTACGCATCGGCACCGAAAACCCGAACGTGTCGGTGTACCCCATGTTGGGCTTGAAAAACACCTTCCAGACCTCGGTAATCTTTTCCGAGGGCCATGTGACCATGGCGTCCGTTTCCCCTTTCTTTTCCGGTTCCGTCTTCCACCATCCCTCCCCCTCCTGCTGCAGTCTCCGATCCGCTTCCTCCTTCGGGGGCGAGCCGTCGGGGGCCCTTTTCTCATCGACGGGCGTGTTCCCACCCTTGTTCGAACCCGCGCGCAGTGCAAAACGCCTCATGATTTGGGTGTTCAAAGGGGCTGACTCCCGAAAGTGTAAGCGCTTGAGAAAGGGCTTGGTGGGGCGTAAATGAGAAGAAGCATAGACGCGGGAAGCAGGTCTAACACTTGGGAGTCTTCGGGCACTGGGGACTGGAAGGGGCCTGAAAAACAGGAGCAGAGGAACAAGAGTGAGGGTGACAAAGCGCTTGTTGGAGACGAAACGAGACAATCTCTGTTTAGCAGCTTCCTACTTAGCTTTCAATACGGATTTTGCAAAGCAATCCAGACCAAATGACTGGAACCATGAAACGTCCGAGGACAAATGTAGATGGTCAACTAACAGTCTAATTGAAGACTACTTTGGCGCAACGACCAACATCCAACCATTTGAAAAAACCCCTTCTGTCAAGGTAGTCAAGACAGTTGACGGTGCAAAAACCCAGCATTCACACTTTCAATGTTAATCAGCTCACTCCTCAAAACTGCTGCAGTGCTGAAATTCTTGCCCTAAGATTTGTGGATATAGTAGGCTCTGCCTATTTGGAAGATCTCCAATGGGCTACAACTCCCAGACAGGAGTGCCACGTAATGTTTCTAGATCTGTCTATCTTGGCTGCATCTGGACAGCCCACATGGTGTTTCTAGCACCGCTTTGAAGGGGCACAGATCAATCAAGTAAACTTGCCAAGCTTGACTGTCAAAACAAAAGATAGAATACTAGAACTGTCCACTGGCTTGGAAACCTCAGAATGGCACTCGAGCTGACTTGACAATGCTTTGAAAGACCTTGCTTGTTACAGCTCCTCCACAGATCAGAAGTACAAAGGAGAAGAGACCACAATATTTGCAACCCCTTATGCTGCAATCATCACCAGTTGCAGCGATGGCTGCCCTGGAATGACGCAGTAAGCATGCAGTAAGCATGCAGTGCGTACGGGAGCCAATTAAGTCCTCAAAGGTTCAAAAAAAGGTTCCTAGTGATATGAAACAGAGGAGAGGAACGTCAGGAAGCGCCGTACCTCGCATGCAGCGCCCTGACAAAGCTCCTAATTGCTCCAGGGGCGGCCCCTAGCGGGCGCCCCACTGCCAAGGCCTGAACGACCATCTCTAACTCATATTCCTCCCCCTACAAAAATGAACCCTGAAGGGCTTGATCTGCATTCACCACCAGAGCTTGAGCTCTAAAGGGATCCGAGACTTCTCACCACTGTGAACTCGAACGCCATTGTAGCCTGTCGGCATCCTCGGATTCCTCGCTTGCTTAGCTAGGGGCCACGTGACCCGCAAATCAGCAAGCAGCGACAGTCGCATGCAGCAGCGGATCCCGAGTGCATGCACCACCTTCCATCGAGCGAGTCAGGGACATCATCGAACGGTTCAGGGTCAGTAGCTACTAAATGCCATGCATGCAATGCATAATGCACCGACGTTATCAGACTGCAGGCGGGCTGGCCCCCAGCGTAGCAAGTCGCCATGTCACCCAATCTCCAATTCCAATTTGCAGTCCCCAATCCACCCAATCCCCCAAGTACATTGCTGACATGCTGAGCAGCTTGTACGATTTTTAGAGAGTGTGTACGTGTTGATCGAGGAGAGAAGGAGAATGTAGTGTGTCTTGAGGACAATGTAGCAATGGTGGGTACGGTGCAAGGCCGGCATTGCAAATGTTAAGTGGAGTACACAAAAGCACTAGTAGAAGAAGAAGTAGAAGTAGAAGAAACACAAACCACATATGTATGCCATGAGAAGCCTTAGGCCTTAGAGTATTTTGCTACGGCGAAAACGAAAAGAGACCACAACCGTCATGGTCTCGGCCTTCGGCGTCTGACCATCCGGGTAGCTCGGACATTTTGGCACATTTGGGCAAGGTCGGATGGTTGCAATTGTCTTGAAGCCGACGTGCGCATCAAAGGCGTGCATGATCAGAATCAGAAAACAGGATCATGCATGATTTCAACATGCGACCGGAAACTCCTACATTGAGCAACTTTTATTCACCGAATACTGAGTCTCATGCAGTATTCCTTGAAGCACATGATACCTGGCTACTAAAGGCCTAGAGAGGGGCTAAAGCAGTACTAAGTCTATGGACATGAGGATCGAGTGATGCTCATGTATGGAACTTTGTCTGCACGCCAAAAATCTCTATGCAAGCATCCACTATTGGGGTAAAACTCTCTGCGACAATGAAAAACCTTAGCAATCAAGCACAACCTCTGTGTATCTCACATTGAGATGTCGAGCTATTTCATGACTTGCGCAATAGAGATTCATATCAGGCGATCCTCTTTCAGTGAGCAGAACACTTGTTATGCTTTTGCAAAAGTCAGTCGCTTCTTGAGAAGTAGAAACGCTCAGCCAATCACGCCCTGTCCGATGGTAAGGCGTCCCGCATTCCGGACCATAACCTGACAGTCCGCAATCGCTTTCTTCAAAGCTTCCTCAAAGTTGTCCGTCGCAGGGACCGCCAGAAGGGGCAGCCCGGTTTCGTGTGACATGTCCATGACCCGGTAGAGAGTCGTCTCGTGCCCGGGGGACGGCTTCGTGCCACGTGGCACTGTGAGAAAGCCCGTCGTCTGGTCGAAGAACGCCAGCAGGGCGACCGGGGCTGCCCGAGACTGCCTCGAAGCCTGCAAATGCAGAAAGTAGTCGGTTTCGTCTTCCAATGGACTGGCTGAGATCGTTCTAGGTGGTCGAGCAGAGCCGTGTAGCTTCTGGTCCATATCTACAAAGGGATGGGCTCTCGGTCTTGGGTTGCGGCGTTGCTCTACTAAAGGACCTGCAAAGTAAAGACTGGCCAAGAAAGAGTCCACGAAGAAAGAGGATTTAGATCACATGCCGAAACGCAGGAAAACAACCTCTCTGAAACAGCGACACGACCGGCTGAAGCTGCGACCAGTACGAGGAAGCGACAGGAAATTGATTTTGTCTTTAGTGCTCGTTACCTCATTCAGCTTTTTGGGACCAGCGATCCTCGGAGGCTTTCTGCACATTCCTTGAGCATTTCACCTTCAAAGATTCCCGGCGTTTGGCGCCACGGTAAGTGGATACCCTTGAAGAACTAGTTCGAAGACTAGGAACACGGGAAGCTTAGACCTGTTTTGAAGGCTCAAAACACGGGAAGCTAAATTGAAGGAAAGCGGAACATTCGCTTGGTTGTTTTCATAGAAGCATTTCATTGTCTCCTTATGAAGAATACTGTAGTCCGAGGTTCACAACCATCAATACCCGGCCCTCACCTTCTGTCCGACCGTCTCCATATCCTCCCCCCCAACCAGCACCAACTCGTATTCGCTCGCCTCCCCCCCCGCCTTTTCCCCCTGCTTGGCACCCCTCTTTGGAACCAAAAACGCTGCCTTCCGCAGTGGAGCCTCCCTCGGCAGACCCTTGCTTGGCAATACGTTATACTGTCCGTAGGGACAGTGCCGGCACCGGTTCCCGCAGCAAGACCCCCTTTTGAAGTGCGATTCCTCAGTGAAGACGACGTACCCGGTCTCTGGGTCCCGGTAGATCTGCGAGCCTTTGGCACACGCCGCTCGGTGGGCTTCCTCGATTTCGGGGGTCAGGACCGGGGCGCGCCAGGGGGATGGTTTAGAGTCGGTTCCGCCCGGGGGAGCGATTCCGTTGGCTGGAGCGGAACCTGGGGCCGGAACGCCGTTCGTTTTTGAGCTCAAGGGCTCAGCTTCTAGAGCCGATGGGCGACTCAGATCGCTTAAGTCGTCCCCATTTTCTGTCGCTGGAATATTGCTGGAAGCGCTGCCATCTCCCCCGGTTTCCCCATTCATTGCCGGCGGTTTTCCGCTCCCGTTGGGGTGTGCGCCCCCCTCGTCTTCATCGTGCATTAGCCTGGTTGCCTTGGCACCCTCCCCTTCTGACTCATCCAGTTTCGGTACCCCTTTTGAACCCTTCGGTTGCACCCAGCGTTCCCAAGGAAACCCTGCCGCCGATTCCTCTGCGCCCTCGAACCCCTCGTTCAGAAGCGCCACTAACCACTCAAACGCGTCAACGATCCTGGGCCCAGGCCGATTGAACATCGCGTTCCCGTCGACCAGTGCCACGCGCCCCTCCCTAACCGCCCGCAAACCCGTCCACCAATCGCCCCCCGCGATCTCGGCGAGCTCCTTCCTCGCCTCGTCTAGTTCCAGCCCGCAGGGGCAGCAGATGATCCAATCAGGATCGAGCGCGATTACGTCAGCAACGGGCACCTTTCCAGACGGGTGCGCCGGCCCGAGAGCCCCCGTTTTCGGGTCTTTGGCTGGCGGGTTAAGCGGGTGTAATCCGCCCGCTAACTCTATCAGCTGGGGGGTCCAGTGTCCCCCGCAGTAGATGGGATCCGTCCACTCCATGAACAGGACCTTGGGTTTGTTAACCCGGTCCTTAACCCGTTCTTTGGCAGCGGCAATGCGAGCGCGGAGAGGGGCCGCGGCGCGCTCAGCTTCGGGACCAAGGCCGACGGCGGTGCCGACCTTGATGACGTCGGCGATGATGCCATCCAGGTCGAAGGAGCTCAGGTCGATGACAGCGGGGGACGGGTCCATTTTTCTGCATCAGGAAAGGAGGGGAAAAGGTCTGGCGAAAGTTGGGAAAAGTTCGGAAAGCCGCGAAACAGAAGTACGTTAGTGCAGGGAGTCGAAGGCAGCTTGTTTGTGAAGTTACACCGCATCAAATAAGTGAGAGAGGCCACCTTCTTGCTGCCAGACTCTTCTGAGATGTCACGTCTCTCATAACCAGGAAAAGTCAGGATAGACAAAGGAACTAAAGCGAAGCCAGGCAACTGAAAGGTGGCCTTTACAACGCACTTTGTCTGTCTGAGAGGCTTTTCACCGTAAGAGGACCTACATGTTTCAGGTCTAGGAGGCCAGGTTGAGGCCCGCACTTCAGTCAGACGAAATGACCACCTTACGGGCGAGGACAAACGTCGGCACGTTTCTTCTTCGAGGAATCACAGTGCTGCTTTGAACCTCCTGAACCGACTTCCAACTCCAGAAACCAGCCACAAAAGGCAGACACAAAGCAGACACCAAGCACAAGCGCAACATTACACTTTCATTCGATCACCAGTACAGATCCAAGAAAGCATCAGTAAGTAGTCCTTCTATCTCTGGACCAGTTCTCTCAACGTTCGTCACAGAGCAAGGAACTCTAAACCAACCTTCTCCTCGCATGATGGCCTGCCTACCTGGCATACTTGTAAACGAGCCCGGTGTCCACCGCACACACGGTGCACAGCGCTTGCGTCAGGATGACGTCAGGTCGCAGCTCCTGGAGCGTCGCCTCCTTGATGGCGTAGAGAGCGGAGCCTTCCTTCACCAAGTTCTCCACAAGCACGTCGCACTCTGCAGGTTTGCATGAGGTGACATCAGCTTACGGGTGACTCTAGAATGGTAGTCCGGTTGAAACCACTGGTGCTGGATCTTTGCGCAGGTATTTTAACAAGTACTGTTAGAACTTGTGGAGGGTCATTGCTGGTTTTTAAAACCACCATGAGGCTGAAAGTGGTATTTTAGGGTGACTGTCAAAGTGACTGTTACTGTCTGTTACTGTTTGTAATTACACTTGTCACGCCAAGGTATGAAGCATGAACTGGGTTAGAGACTGCTGCCGTGTCCTACAATTATCCGACCTTCATAGGGCTTCATAGTATTATCTGACCACACCCTGTCATTGTTTCCACCACCTTATCGCCAACAGCGATATTTATGATCCCGTCACAGTGCAGCGCACAGATCGCATGCATTCACGCCCTGAAGCAATCAACTTGGCCTCACTCCTAAGCCTTCCCGCACGCACCCCTCTCTTCAAAGATCGATTAAACATCTTCTGTCCGTCACATTTGAATGCTGTCGCGTCAGAGTCTCTGTCAGCATCAAATGCTGTCAGGTCAGGATCTGATCAAACGCTCTCACCTGCGGACGTGGTCCAGTTGACTTTGGACGCAGTCAGGACTGGACGGTCCAGGATCGATGGCGGGTAATCGTCCTCATGCCCTCTTCCGACCAGCAGCTCCTCACCCCCCGGTATGAAACACAGCAGTTCGCAGGCAGACGGGAGAAGCGACACCACCCGAGGCTTACGGTTCTGGAACGCACTTCCAGAGTTGGGGTTATGGGTCGAAAGTGCAGGGTCAAGAGTGGGTGCCATTGAGATTCTTGACAGAAGAGTGGAGGTCAATCTGGAATGACCAATGCGCAGCTTGTTTGCTGGTAGATTGACGTTCTGATTGATCGGTGCCTCTGGGTGGGTTGATAGACTGTGAAGAGACCTTTGTGAATCACAGCCGGATTGGTTCAAGGGCCTTCTTAAGTGGAGAATCTTCGGTGTCGAATGCTGGCTCAGAAATGTGGAGGCTATTGAGGGGGCACCAACAGACTGCCGTAAGGTCGATTGATAATGCAGATCAGGCAGGCGCACAGCATTAGAGAGTGTGCTGGCAGGTAATGCTGATCTCATCAGCGCTTGCTTCCCGCAACCCCAAGAGCTCGCACTCGTAGTTGACTTGCAAAATGGCAATGTGCGCCGACGTGCCTGCTCCCAAGCATGCCGCAACTCCAACAAGCGCATCTGCCGAGGGTTAGCTCATCCGGGCTCTGACGGGAGTGCTATGCCTGGATCGACAGAGATCTCTGCCAGGCCCGAAGTGCTATTTCCTGCGCGCTCCGATCCGAAGCGCCCCTTCCTGTTGGCCGTGTTGGCAGCGACCCTGACTCTGAGGCTGCTGCACTAATTGCATGCACACAGGGAGCTCAAGGTTTCGCACCACGTTGACACCACAAATCTAGCCTTCTAGGCAGCGCGCACGGTTTTGAGGAGATCCGGCGCCGCAGTGTCAATAATTTTGATTTCTTGCACAGGGTAGCGCAACCCTGATCGTAGTTTCTGCACTTTCTGCACTGCACTGGCAGTCTGCAGCAGATGAGGAAGAAGAAACGTCGGATGGTGGCGCCTCATGCTTTCAAAGTTTCATATCCACGGAACAGAGTCGAAAGGTCTAGACTTCAAAGACGCTGCTTCAGGTCAAGCATCGCCACTTCCAGGACAAAGCAATCCGCTGGAGAACAGGGACATCGTCGAGACAGGTATGTTCTTCATCTTCTCCGGCAATTCCTATCTTGAGCACGTTCATTACCCCCAAAGGAGGCGGTCTTTACATCTGATTTGTCTCCATTGGGGCAAGCGAGCATTTCAATCCCGCTTCATGTATCGTCGTTTGTTAAGCATTCTGTACTTTCTCCTTTATCAAATCGATAGCTCTGCAAAGGCTGGCGGTTTGTGCAAGGTTCTGATGCGCAAGCTCTTCATGGCATGTGAAGCTCAAAAGCCCTTCTCTGGTTGCCTTCTCGCGCCACATGAAGCTGACTGATCCGCACCTTTGATAACCTGCAGGTCACGATTGTTAGCCTCATTGTTTCGGCAACTTGTCAGGCCCACGCCAATTGATTTTCAGAGCAAGCCAACCTGCCCTTGTCTGAGGAAAGACTTGAAAGGACCTCTGGATAGGCCACAGTGGTGCGGCACTAATAACCACCTACTTTGCTTACTGTAGAGAATACCAGCATTTTGAGTCCCCTAGACAGCTTCCTTCAAACGTTCAGTTCAATGATTACATACAGTCAGAACTACAATTAGTAAAAGCCTAGTAAAAGCCTGGGATGATTCTCCCCGTAGCTAAGCTTGGGACTCTGCTCCTGCGGCAGCTCACAAAGCCGCTGGCAGCTCAGGTGAAGCGGGTGGCGGTACGGAACGAGGTGTTTCGGGAATGGGTTACGGGAGTAGCACAGGTGAGAAACAGCAACGTTTGCAGGTTCCAGGCCTTCTCACGTCTTCGAGTTCCATACTCATTAGGGGCAGGTTTTTGAAACTTTGTACATGCACTCTATCGACTCTTGGGCTTGTCCATGTAAGTTACAAAGTTGTGTTTATATGGAGTTTGATCTTAGTAGGCTTTGTAATCTTGGTACTCTCTCCCTTTTGGAATGGTGTCTAGCCTGTGGTTGAAACAAGAAATAAGCTTTACAGGCCTTTCAAAAGCGTCCTCAATACATGCTGATAACCTGGGAAGTGTATGCATATACCCGAACACTCTTCAAAGTACAAACGGTGATTCATGAACGTCACGTTGACAAGTGCGACTCCGTCTTCTTCACCTTGCCTTGTCTGCACCCTCACTCCTAGTGAGGGTGTTATTCCTAGAGTCAACAGAGTCACAGTTGGCTGATCATGAAATGGTGCAACCTAGAATCTGCGCGGTAATAGATTGCAACTTACTCCCCTGCTAGTGGTTGTTCCGGTTGTGCTGTTCCAAGCTTCCCTAATCCGCTGCTGTCATTGCTGTGGTCTGTATTATCCAAGAAGTGTAGGCAAGGTCTTCGCTTTTTGCCTGCCTGATTTTCAGAACCCCAAGTCACATCTGCGGAAAGTTTGCTTCAATCGCTCTGCCAAAAAGGGCTTTAAAATCACTCACTATGGTGGGCTGCCAGTCGGGCGTTCTCTTTGATATGCGCAGAACGATTTCAGACGAAGCCAGAAGCGTTCAATTGGACGGGAACGCTGAACAGATTCTACCGCGGAAGAAAGATAATCTGTTGCCCACGAGGTAAGAGGACGAATGCACTGGAATCCGAGACCAGGTGGAATCCAGTTTTACTAAGTGTCATATCGAAGATGAATAGTGACCGTGTCCTTTTGACGTGCAGAAGTACCATCGGTACAATGTCAACATGCAACGGCGATTGTATGCGCAAGACACGGACGTGGAGATCCGGCCGCTGAATGCTGAGAGGGCTTTGCAGACTGCGGCAGACCTGGTTGGAGAAGTCACCATCTTTTCGGTGAGCACGTGTGGTAAAGTTGTTGAACTTATTCTGGAACGGTTTCTGGATGGTCATCCAGGCTCTTAGTCATATTCGAAGAGGCAGGCGCTTCATCTTTTGGAGCCTGTTCACATTGGCTGAGCGCTTTTATCCTTACATACCTTTTACCGTCGATAGATAAGGTGTCGTTGCTTTTATATGAAAGAAATTCTGCACAACAAACTCCGGGCTGAGTTTCTGACTAGTTATCTACCAAGTAATTGTACCAGCTCTCTAGCACACTCTTTTAATTGGATTCTCAACTTACCAGGGTTCTTTCATCCCTCAAAAACTGAACGGATTCCCGGAGCCTGCGAGTCTTAATACGCTCTTAGTGCCGTTCTCTTTCAATTTGAGTTGTGCGTGTTCTTCGAGTGGGAACGAGGACTGAAACTGTTCCGTGAGGAACCATTTCAAAGCTGCTTGTCCACCTTGGAAGCAATACTGAGCGGATTTGATTCGAAGTTGGTACTTCTCAGTGCGGCGCAGACTCTCTCGCACAGGCCCTTCACAATGGATTCACGGGACCGTTCGTCTTTCCTCTGCTGCGGGCCGCACAGAGAACAGTCAAAAAAACTCGGTATCCGAACAACGGGGGCTTGACTTTACTTGACTTGAAGTCACTCTAGGATGTCGACACCCCTATCTGCCTGGAAAAGAAGAGCTTTTGAAGCCTTTCTGAGTTTCTTGAAGAGATTTTGGGGGGGGGGGAGAAACGCCCGCTAACGCACTTTGTCTGACTTTTGTTCGACGTGCTTTCGATCGCGCGCAGCGGCTTTGGAATGCGCCGCTGAAGCCTTTGCTCTTTCACAGGTCGCAGCCGGAATTCTGGTGTGGGAGTACCAACGGAACGCCCAGTCGGACTACCGGAAGACAGAAGCAGCGCGAGAGGCTCAGGAGGTAAGCGCTTTTTACCTTTTTGATCTATGGCACAAGCAGATTCTCTCTGGTGAAGTCAGTCGTGCACATGTCTTTTTGTCGGGGAGCCAAAGAGGTGGCCAGAAGAGCACACGCAGTCGTTAGTAGAAACGCCGGCGGCTCCTGAAGACTGTGAGCAGGCGTGATAGTGCTTCAAAAAGACTGGTTGAGAATGATAGGCAAAACGTTCTTCGGGTTCATCGGTTGGAAGACAAAAGTTACTTGACATTTGAATTTGATTTGGTTGGAGGTTTGAATCTCACAATCGATATCAGAGTGGTTTGGAAGGTGTTCAACTCGTCTGAGGAGCCAATCTCGTCCGCTTTGCAAGGTCCGGCAAGATCCCGTGACAAGGGCGCCAATGGAATCATGACGAAAGACATACTCCGGACGTCTTGTCCGGAGTATGTATTCTTTCTGCTCATATCCAGGTCCGCTGGTGCCTTGCAGAAAAGTGTACAGCGGTCGGAAGAGATGGACGCAAAACTTCGGGAAGCTTTGGAGATGAACAAAGCGACTCAGGAAGAGTTGCGGCAACTAAAAGAGCGCCTAGGCTTGCTAGAAGCTTCAAAAAGCGGTCAGAGTGCTGGCCATCAGGTTATTAGCTTGTTGCCGCCTTCCTTACCGTTGAGTCTACCACCGTCGGAGAACGTTGAGTCGCAAGTGTCGTCGAAACAGATGGAAGCGCAGTCGACGAGCACGCAACAAGAAGCACAAGAGTTGCCGAAGAAACGAACAGGATGGTTGCCCTTTTCATAATCACTTTGTACATATCGCTATTTGTTGCTACCGTCCGACGGCCTGAGTTGTGCGGACTAGCGAACTTTCGAAAGCTCCAGGGGGACTTCAATTTGACTGCAATGTCCGACTATTAGTGTCGTTGCTTTCTAACCAGTATGTTACTTGCTCAAAAGCTAGATAAATCAGGTCGTATCATTATTTTGACTTGGTCGGTATGTTTCATTGCTAACCGGCGGCTGGGGCTTTTTGTTTAAGGTCGGGAATCCGATGTGCAGGCGGCAATTATAGGTGAGGCCGGGCGGCCCCGGCCAGATGCCCAAGTTAATTAAAGCTGAAGAGCTTTTGCGGACCCCAACGTGCAATTCATTTGTTGAATTAACCTATAACTCTGCGCAATCGTTAATTACGATCTGCGTGCTCGATCGTCGGTATCGATGATATCAGAAAATGCTAGATCTAGCCATGCGCTCAAAATGGCCCGCGGGCAGATGAACTTAATACCTAAATTACTAATGCTTGTAAGAAACTTCATGCAATAGTCGACGTGTGCGCGCCGCCTAGGCCCATGAGAGTCCTAGCCGCGGCCGCCGGGATGCGCGCCGATTAGCATGAATGATTATGCATAGTTGCTTTAGTAAAGTTGATTGCATGCCATGGCGGCACATGGGCCTCGAATCGCTCGTCGCATGTAACCTCGTCTAACCAGGCTCGCCGCGCGCGCGGGCAATATTGGGGTCCCATATGGCCAGCTTTATATCGCCAGTCACCATGATGCACTGGCATGGTACTGCATATATGAACAGTTAGCAACGTCGGCACAGTTTAACAGCGCACGGTCCATCGAACCCCGCCGCGTCCGACAATTTGAAGGTAGCTTTTTGATGGTCTCTTTTCGTACTCGCCGTAGCCAAATAGGCCATAGGCTTTGATGATTGCACCTTATGCATGCACTTGAAGGGTTCCTTCATCTTCATGAAGGTCCATGATCACTTCCTTTGTTGCTCAGTGAGGAAGGAGCTCATCATGGCATTATTGGCACATTACAGTGAACGACGATACTGACTTGCAACTTCGACACGCCCATGAGAAGTGGGACAACAGATTCGGCGTCCAAGTAGTTACCAAATAGAGCACAGCATACGAGCTTCATCCTTTCGGAGCAGCGTTTTGGAGCTTCTTTCGGAGCTCGGTGGAAGAGATATCCATTCTAAAATCCGGGATCGCTTTGAAGATGTCCGCAACTTCGTGAGGAACTTCGATGTCTTCGAGACGCTGCACCCAGGGAGAATCCGAGGGAGTCGTCAACACCGATCTCGTTTTCCTTGGTTTGATAAAGTCCTTCTTGCAGAACACAGGGGACATGGGAGAGGTAGAACCCACATCATAGACCGGTCCGCAGTTGAAACCCTTTCAGATCTGTATGAAACTTTACATGCGATTATGAACGCAACAGAAGATAGAAGAAGGAACCATAACGGCCGACCCAGATTTAGCCTACCAAACGTGCAAGATTCGAGGTGGACCCTATGTTCGCGGAAAAGACAATGTTGCTCTCACCTCGAATCCATTTTCCCCAAGAGCCCTCCCAGCGACGGCAAAGTCGCACCCGTTCTCCCGCATTTGAGACAGTTCTCGGATCATGTTTGCACGGCTGTCGTCGTAGTACTTTTTCTGCACGGCAGAACGTTAATACACTACATGTTAGGCAGATTCTGGGAGCCTCGGTAGTTCCCATTCCGGTCTGCGACTGCGTTTTCAACGCAGATGAAGGCTTGAAGTGGTGAGCTTAATACCTATGCTAGCCTCAGGCGTTTTGTGTCCTAGACTGCTATTGTAAGCGCAGGTCGGAAGCTGATTCGGCCGAACTAGAGTGACGTCTCCTCTGAAGGTGGACAGGTGCCAGGTCCCTGACCTGACGACATGACTTCTCACGATGACGAGCCTTTTTGAGCGGTATCAATTCCAATTTCCGAAAGTGCTGTCCCAACGCAAACCGAAGGCTGACCCTCAGGGAATTTGAAGCTCCTCTTTTTTTGAGCCCCTCTGCTCCGTCACCTTGGAGCGCCTCCTGATTGTACCGACCAGATGACGAACTTGTTATTCAAGGCAATCGGAAGCTTGCTTTGAACAAACCCAGAAAGATACGAGCGTCGACGGTTGTCAAGTCCTTCGGTTGACGTCACCTTTCCCCTCACCATGAAGAGCCGCTTGGCGGTATCATCTCCGACCACGAAGGTGCTGTCTCAACGCAACTTGAAAGGCTTTATTTGTAGAAGTTCAAACGTCCATTTCACGGATTGCTCTGTCTTTCAGTTGATGCTCCGCCTCACCATGAAGAGCCGCTTGGCGGTATCGACTCCGACCACGAAGGTGCTGTCCGGAAGCAGCTGGGCCTTGCGTGTGAAGAGGGACGCGTCCGTCACGACCAGCATCGAGCCTGCGAAACACCCACGTTTGCGCCCTTTGAGAATCTCTCATTGGCCATTTGTGCCGGAATTGTGAGACACCATGAGTACTGTACAACGTCTTACAGACTCGACTAGAACCGGTAAACACCTCCTAGGGTATGGAGCAGGTAATGACGTTGGGGGGCAATTTCTGCTCTGTACGAGATCTTCTTGTATTCTTGAACTGAGCAGATTTGTCAGAAGCACCGGTAGAACGGGTTAACAGCAAAGAATCGTTAAAAAAATCCGTAAAAAGCTAGTCGGAGCAGACTTGAAGTTGGCTTAGAGATGGCTTAAAGTACAAACCCATGCCTTGCACAAGCGACACTCGAGTGGACTCCTGAACAAAACGGCGTCCTTGACAAAAGCGGTTATACAAGGTGAAGATCAATAGTTTGTCGTTCTGCGTCACTCGACAAAGTTGCGTCCAGACTGTTGCATAAAAACGCTGAAAGGCTTCGCGAGCAGTCTTTTCTGCCGAGTTGCAGATCAAACACACGCGACTTTGGTAATCTTGGATGCGTACCTCTATCTTCAAACTGCTTTGCTCGCCGTCGGATCTCGTCTACGGGAAGCGCCGGCTTGTCAGGGTTTGTGGCCGATAGCTCGAAGCAGGGGGCGGGGTTACGAACCAACCTGCAAAAGGGAGCATAACCCTTCCGCTAAAGTTTGATGCTGGGAACGACTGAATTGCCGGCTATATTGCATACAATAGTATGGCAGACGCACATGGAGTAGGATCGGACGTGATTGTCGTTGCTTGTAAACTGCGGTTGTGAAAAAAGGCATTGGTCCTCATGCCCCGATTCAAAGCCTTCATAGGCCCAAACCATGTAAAAGGGCAGTACTGACAAGTGCGACGAGTCTCGTGTTGATAGCAGATATATACTGATTGTCCAGACATTCTTCCCAAAGTGGAAAGACTATCCTTTGCCTTAAAGAATTTCCCAAATTCAACGAGACGTGTTGAAAAGCCCAAAGAAAAGGTGTGTCCTTCTTTCCGAAACCTTCTCCCATGAAACACGAAACGCATGTTAAGAAAGGCCCCTACATGCACGCCGCGTCCACAATTCCCGAGCTGCCCCTCGTGCAGCGGGTTGAACGACCCGGGCAGAATCACCCGCCGCTTCCCCTCCAGACTGAAAATGTCCCCGTCACCAGTTTCAAAAGCCTCTTGCCAGAATCAAGCCGAGTGGCACTCACTAAGAGATTGCTCGATACGGTGCAGGTCGAGCGATTGTCCGAAAGAAAACGAAAGCTTCAATCTCTCTTAAGATGAATATGCACTTACTTGCACGCCGCATCCATCATCCCGAGATGTCCCTCATGCAGCGGGTTAAACGACCCGGGCAGGATCACGCGCCGCTTCCCCTCCAAGCTCAGGCCCTCGGGGAGAAACGTTACGAACGGCACCTCGCGCCGCAAGAGCTGCTCGAGTTGCTCGTCGCGGGAGAAAGACCGAGTGGACCATTGGAGACGCTGCGCCTCGGAGTCGGTCAAGCGGAGGTCCAGGTGGCGGGGGACGCCGCTGGCGTTTGCGATCGCCTGAGAGAAGCGAGCGGCGGCGGATTGGAGCGGCACGGAAGGAGTGGTGAAGGAAGTGGGAGGTTTCGATGCGAATGGGTATTACAAGATAGATGCCGAGTACCAGATATATCCGTCGACTTAGCTGTATGACGATGCGTTGGTAGAGCTTTTTGATGAAGGTTCTGGAGCCATCGGGAACTGCAGATTGCTCAAAGACTATGAATCACAACCAATCCAGCCAGGGAACGAGCGACGAGGGCAAACGACCTCAGCCACGAGCGGGGAATTGCCATGCTGCTTCTCTGGACAGAGAGGACGTTCCTCAGGAACCAAGCCGTCAGCTTTTAACCCCGCACCAGCAGGAGCAGACCTAATGAAGTCAGCTTCAAAGAGTATTCGTGCAAGAGCAGGCTGCTGGTTACGTCAGCTTTCGGCACGCACCTGCAGGAGCAGCCTGCTGGTGACGTCATCCTCCCCGAGGCGGTCTCGGAGGCCCTTGTCGAGGAACATGCCGGCCTCCCACGTGCGTTCCTGGGTGCGCGCGGCCACAAAACACCTGCACCGAACGGCGCCTGTTCACATGTAACCCAAAGCAAAGTGACGTGATCCTAGATTCTTTCAGTTCAGACACAGGCTGTGTGTCAGGTGAACGAACAATGATTTCTATGGAACGTCTTGAGTGTCGTGCCGGAATGTGGGCTTGTCCAACTAGAGACTTTGACAAGAAAAGCAAGCGAGTTCTCGCATTCTGACAGCCTCCCAAAGGAGCCGCACACAGGACCCAATCCGTCAGCAAATCTGCGATGCCCTGATTGGCAACGTGGCCTAGGAAGCGTTCGAACCAGCTGACACGAAAAAGCAGTAGGAATATCCTTGAAAGGATCTGTGCCCAATTCGGGACTGCCTTTGAGGTTGATGGTCGACCAGGATGCAGACCCAATGTCGCGCTTTTCAAGCCTGGACTCGTTATAGCTAAGACGGTGTGACCGTGCAATCCACAAAGCTCGCAAGGGAACCAGATGAAGCGAAAGAAGCAATGATAAGAGTGGGCGAAACAAAAGTCACTGGAAACAATTGTGTTTTCGAGGGTCTTTGAGCACTGACCGGTGGTCGCCCCTCTTTGGGGCCCCAGAGACAATCGCACAGGTACAACCGATCCCAGCAACCGGGACACCTGCAGAGTTGCACCACAGTAGGTCTCAGAATTGACAGAGTCCTCGGGGCTTGGTTTAAAAGGCATGTCGTAGGTTCCGATCCAGCTTGAACCACAGCGTATAAAACAAACTTAAGATCAGCTTCAAGAGAACTTTTCGAGCTGATAGTGCCTCTGTATCCAAATTGGCATACTATGAGATATGAGATTGGTTTTGGTTGTCTTTTGAGCTCTCCCGGTCTCGTACTGGGGGCACTAATATCAAGCTCAGGACAAAGGTGCTTGCCAGCTCAATTCGAAGATTGCCCCGGGGGCAGCCATTAACTTACGGCAGGGCTTTCAAACGAAAGAAAGGATGTATTGACCTCTCGGCATCTAAGAATGCAACCATAACTGCGGGGGATGTGGGGATGTGAGGCTTAAGAAAGAGTAAAACCTACCAGGTCCTGCCAACATAAGCGCTCTGTTGTAGGCCTTCAGGGCCATATCGTTGGCTGTTGCCTGGCTCGCAAATTGCTCTGGCTCCTGCATAACATGAGGAGATATTAAAGCCTCTTCTGAGCTGATAGACCATAACCAGCTTTTGTACCTCTCTGCCATATAAGAGCAGGCAAGAACAAAATTGCAAAGGCTTTCTGGAACTTATCGTCAAATGGAAAAGTGTGTGAGGATATTGTGACAGACTGCAGTCTGCTATGACAGTTACTTCCAGAAGGGAAGGAGAACAGACAAAAATTGCTGAAACATCTCTTTCAAGTCAACTGAAAGACTGTGGCCTCGTAAATGTAGCTGAAACAGTGCTCAGTTGCCTTAACGCCGTTCTCAGAAGGCCAAGCAAGTATCTTGCTACCTTGCCAAGAGCCAAATGGAGGGCTCTTCTTGAGTATGGTGTTGTTGCCTCCAGCAGAGTACTTGAAGCCCCAGGAACTGAGAGAAGCCAGCTGAGGGCCTGTCAGAAAGGTCACCGCATGATAAGTATCTCACAGAGGAACTTTCAGTCAATGATCAATCCAAGGAACACTGGTCCGCGAAGCGACCTGCCTGAGAATTGTGCCGTGCTGCGGGTTGCTCGTTCACAGAAGGGCAGAACAAACACAAAGGAGTAAATTCTGACACAGACTTGAAAGACCGCACCAAATGGCAGGAACGCAAGTGGGAACTTGAGTGTTTGAACTAGTCTAAAATGTAAACACTCCAAATTCGATGCAGATTTCCTACTTCTAAGTACAATAACCTTGGGAGTCAACAGCATTCTGAGGAGGACTTCCTGTGAGTAGACTTGCAACTAAGTGCCAATTGCATCCAATAGTTAACTCACCTGAGAAGCTCCACCTGAGAATAGCAGCATTGCACGCATGGGTGTTGCATGTATCGCTTGCACCAATGCTTCAATTCCAGGATCCATCACTGGACAGGGAGGCTTCACCGAAGTGTCCAGCTTGGGGGGGCTTCCATTGTTTTGAGAGCTCATTGCGCAAGTCCAAGTCTGATGAATCCGGCGGTGCTGAGGATTGCTGTGCCGTGCCGTAGGGCCGAGAAGGGGGAGAGGCGCACACGGGACGAGAAGCTCGAGCCGGCGGGCCGCTGACAGCATCGTATTGAATATCAAAGAAGGATCCAGATTTCAAAGATTGTTTAACATATCTTGCGCTCGGAACATCGGTCTGATGTGAAGTGCGGTGGTCTGCGGTCCACAACCAACGACAAAACTTATGAGCTTGCAGAAATAGGACGCATCGTTGGTGATACGACTCAGTGACAGAAACAACTACAACAGCTAGGCTAAAGTCTAGGCTATCAAGAAAGTCTTCCGCTCAGATTTAGGGAACCTTTGATGGTATGCTGCTATCTGAACTACTCTACAGCGCTTGCTTTGGTGATTCCTGCCGCCCTACCCAAAGCCCGCCCTTGCGTCCGTGTGCCGCTTCCCGTGCCCGCCCTGCAATCCCTGAACTCAAGAGCTTCAATGCTGGTTACGCCACCCGAATTGGACGGCACAGACGGCCTGATCAGACTGTGAACGCCCTACAACAAGTTCAAAGCTTGCAATCACAACATTTGCGGCTGCAAAAGCAGCATCAGGCTGCATGGATGGCGCGGCCGCGGCCGGCCCGCTTGGCCTTGCCATCGCCCTATGTCAGGGTTTAAGGGTTTGGCGTATCTTTTTCCTTGAAATGGCCGGGAGGGTGTCCCGAGACCGTCGAGGGGTTGTTTCACCCGGCACCCGCAACCCGGGGGTTCACATCTCGAGAGAGCGCAGAACTCCAGCTATGATGAAAGGCCGGGAGGTGGAGCTAGGCTGAGCTAGGCAGGACAACAAAGAAGTTGAACTTGAAGTACCGTACCAGCGTTTGATTTTGTCGGTCTGGGTGCCAATTAATTAATTTCTAATCGATCTGACATTTCGGCGGAGTGTTTTCTATTTTTCCAACATTTCGTAAAAGTAGCATTCCTCTTCTAAAAACAACCATTACCAGCCTTTAACGCCCAAAAATTTTATTTGACCTTTTCGTCATCGAACACAAACATTTTCCAAAATTTTCGGCAGCCCAAACAATTATTTAATTAAAAACGAAATTAAACGCTGGTACGGTAGTTGAACTTGAAGCCTGAACTTGAAGTTGAAGCCTGAACTTGAAGAACGTGGTCTTTTCTCAGAAACCTCAGAAAGCTAAGGCGCTCTGTTGAAATCTAGGTAGATCTCCTTGGTCTCGAGGTCCATCAAGTCACAATGTTCCCCTTTCCCGGCATGAACGGGGAGGACGCGCAGGCGCTGCGCGACATCCTCCTCCAGGCGCAGCATTACATGGCCACCAACGGGCCCGACCTGAAGAAGAAACCCTCGGACGCGGACCGCGCCAAGGAGCGCAAGAAGCTGCTCAAGCGCTTCAAGACTTGGCAGCTGGTGGAGACCGGGATGCTCGACCTGGGGCGGGGGGAGCGGTTCAAGAGCAGACTTTCGGGGCATGACCCGTTTGAGAACTTCCACAGGGGGGGGGGCGGACCGCGGCGGAGGAGCCCTTACACAAAGGACGAGTTTGGAATGCTTGCAGAGGCTAGAAAAAGGGCGTTGCGAGTGCAGGCGGGGGTTGCGAAGGCCGACTACAGGCTGGCGCTTGTGAAAGAGTATGGGGCCGTGTTTGACATTGAGGACTCGCCGCAGGAGTTTGTGCAGGCGTCCGGGACTGTGTTTGCGGAGATCAGGGGCCCGTTCCAGGCTCAAGCAAAGAAACCGGCTAGTGAGCAAGGTTCTAGCGCGCCAAACAATCAGCATTCGGAAACGGCAAACCAATCTGGACAGCCAGGTTTGGACAATCCAAGCCAATCTGGACAACCACATTCGGACTTCCAGTCCGTACAGCCTGCGGAGGAAGGAATGTGGGCCGAGCTGTCGGAAGAAGAACTAGGTGCGGCGGGAAAGCTGAAGGGCGTTCTTGACGAGCTGGTCGAGATTGCGTGTTGCGGCCATGCTGTGGCCGAGGCCTTCGACTACGACGACCCCCGGGGCTCGATCTGCAATCATGCTGCGCGTGCGCTCACGCCGTTCCTGCCACTGTGCTCAGACGAGCAGCTGCGGAAGCTGGCGTTGTTGATGGGGGAGTGGGACAGAGGTGAGGAGTGGGGCTTTTCAGTCCCCTTTGAAATTGTTTTCATTTCGAGTGTCCCTCCATTGGTCTGGTTTGAGGACACTGGTACTGCTTCTATAACGGGAGGGAGTCTTTATTAGCAGTATTACTCGCTGTGATTGCAAAGATGTTTTGGTGTCATCGATCTACAGCAGTCTGGGTACCTTTTTAGTGTTCACAACCAGCCAGAAGGGTCATTGTACCCTCTCGTACACATCAGATCCACCTCAAAACATCCAGGTCCTGTTCCAATCTGTCCAACCCTGGTCACCCCAGATTACATCAGTCCTCTAATTGTGGTACACAACTGATTTTTAAAAACCCTCGTCTTTACCAGAAAAGCCTTCTCTAGAAAAGCTTTCTCTCTATCAGAAACGTTCCATCAGCCTTCAACGTCGTGCAACTCTTTCCATTCCGATTTGCAGGCGAATACGTTGTTCATCATGCCAAGGACATGTTTGCCGCCTGGGACCTCCCCTCCGAATGCCCCTGGGTTTGGGACATGGTTCTGGAAACCACCGCCGCCATAACCAAGGGCAAAACTGAGGAGTACTTCGGAACCTTGCGGCCGATACTCCTCCGGAACGAACCTTGGGGGGGACCGATGCATGACGAGCACATTCTGGCGTGCGCAGTTTCGTTGTGTCGGGATGATTTTGGCGTCGAAAGGATCAACGACGAGTTGAGAAGGGGGATCGGAGGCCCCGGGGGGCACCCCGGGGCGCGGAACTGGATGAACGGGTGCCTGTTTTCGGAGCTGAAGCGGTTACATGTGGCAGACGCGGACGATCTGGTGATCAAGGTGAGGGAAGTTGTATGGTTCTAAGTTTGGAAACCCTCTCGCCGCTCTGAAGGCTGTGAGATTGAGATTCATATCCGCCCCGGTGATCAGAACATTAACGCTCTGTTTGCTGGAAAGGGATCTGGAAAATGTTTCCGTCTCCAGGTCGTTACCTCTTCCATTTCTCTGCTCGGATCCTGATCTTCGTGAGATCTTGTGAAAGATGCTCGCCATCATTCTCACGTCGCAGGCCTGAGGTGTGAATAGAATCTGAACAAACCGATCAGTCGCTGACAACAATCGTGCAATTTTGCAGGCGTCCAAGTTGGAGGCCTACGCCGAGTGCCTCGACGGCAACTATCTGACGTGGCTCAAGGAGCTGGACCTCCCCGCTTCAAACGAAGAGCGCATCGCCACCGCTAAAGCAGCAGTCAGAAAGCTCAACATCGCTCCGGGGACCGCTCTCTTTCAAGAGAAGCTGGCCGAAAACACGCAGCAGGTGCGGCGATGGGTGGACAGCACGGGTGAGCCGGCCGCGCATGTTTGAGGGGTCGGTTCCTTTTCTTCGTTCAACTCTGTGAATTTTCGACTCCGTTGTGCCCCTCGGTATTTGAGATCGAAAGATCAAGGGAAAGATCCGTATGGGATGCGTAGAAAGTGTGTCGCAGCGCGCAACGATGTCCAGGGGTTTAGCAGGCCAAGGATACCCGATCATGTCTTCGGTTACCTGGAAATGTAAACCACTAAAACCCTTGAACTCTAGACCCCTAGAGTCCGAAAGAGGAGTCTGAGCACGATGTTTCACGGTGGTCCTGCTCTTGTATCTTCGAGAAGTTGAGTACGTGCTACTGTGTCCAGCGACCTGAAAGTTGGCATGCGGTCTTTCTGGTCACCACCAAGTTACGGGTTACACCACACCCTCTTCGACCGTCCCCGGTGGTCCTGGGCCACATCGGTCTCTATGTTTTCCCTACCACGCACATATCGCGTCAATAGCCCTTTCTGATTTTTTCCGAGCAAAATCTGCTCACCTCTTCGCGGCTTCCCTAAGCTGCTCTCTATGATTAATTCCATGCTTTGCTCATTGATCATGGTACCCGGGCGAATTAGACCTTCGCCCACCCGCTACATCGGGGGCCAACTTAGACTGCACCCTAAAAACGAGTAAGGTTTTACAATATTCATAGAATCACGGAATCTCCCCCCCCTCTTTCTAAAGATTCTAGGTTAAAAAGCATATTTTTAACTAGAAAGAAATCCCAGAAAACACAAATCCAAAGCTCTGAGGAGATGTCAAGGTAAAAGAGGAGAAAAGAAAAAGTGTTTCCAGGCGGCTGGCGTCAATCCACCCCCGAGGCGCGCGCCAAGGAGGCCCTCGCGGCTGCGCGCCGCGCCTTTTTCGGGAAGGCAGTGCGCGTTCTGCTCGCGAAGGACCCGCCGACAGCGGCTGACGTCAGAAGAGAGCTGCTTGAGTACCGGCAAAAATGTGCAGCGCTTGAAGGTAAGGCTACGATTCCTCTGGAAGCCTCTTCGTAGCTTTGTGTATGCATGGACGGAACGGCTCGAACGAAATGAAATCTGTTTGCGGTGTCAAGACCCTCTTACTTTGAAGAGTCCTTCGAAGGAAGACGCCACAAAAATCTCCTTGGTAGCAAACGGACGCAGCCACGAGCACGGGTTTAAACATAGAGGCTTGCAATTTCCTGGGAAGAGCTTGAAGCAATTGTGGTCACTGCTTGCCCCCCGGCTTCTTCCTCGTTAAATCTACACGTGCGCTAGAGTAGAACCTAGGAGCAAAGCGGGGGTGCGAGCCCCACTAGCAACGACCCTATCCCCTCCGGGGTAAGATCTGCTACACAGACAGAGACAATCCAAAGCAAGAAAAGAGAATGCACACAGCGGTGCTGGTCTGTTTTTGAAGTCCTGACTCCTTTCCGCGGCGCCTCAGACACTATTCCAACAGTCGATCAGTCTGTCGGGTTGTCTGGCAAGACGAGAGCAAAGTATCCCATTTCTTGAACTCGTTTTACCCATGCCCTCGTTCAAGTAAGGGTGCCGGTCGATGGAAGCTCTTGCGGCTTTAGTGGAATCTTCAGATCACTGAAGATAGAGGGCTGTACCTGGTAACATCGTATCCAGGTATCTGGGCTTGACGGAAAGGTGCTGCAGCCAATGCTGACGTGCCGCGGGGTTCGGACAGAAGTACGCGGTTGAAGCGGGCTGGTCTGCGTTGTCGTCTGCAGACACGAGGACAAGGACAAAGGCAAGGACCGCTGAAGACCCTGTTTACCATCCTTTTGCGAACGCCGCAGCTGGAGCTGTCTCCGGAGCACCGGACGAGTCCGGGGCAAGCACACACAGAGCCGGTACCCGCATAAGGCGGTCTCAAAGCCATTCCAGCGTCAGAATCTCTCGTCCTCCTTTCTAGTGACGTCCCCTTCTGGCGCAGCTTCTGGCGCACGCAACCAGGACCCGCTAAAAGAGATTATTATGAAATGAAAACGGAAGCCGGAGGCGATAAGCGAGTTCAAAAGTCATACAGACCGGTCAGAATCTCTGATTCCCTTTCGTTGTAAGTCCGCAGCTGGCGCGGTTTCAGGCGCACGCCACGAGTCCGGTGCGTCCGAGAAAAGCACACGGGAAGCTGGGGGCAGTACGCCAGTCTTGAATAATCCCTGCAAAAACTTCTGAGTACATTCCTTTTGGGCGTCCGCAGCTGGCGCGGTTTCGGGCGCACGCAACGAGTCCGAAGCGTTTGAAGAAAACACACACAGTATTCCGGAAGCAGTAAGTCAGTCGTAAAGACGTACAACCGGTCATGTCGTCTGATCCCTTTTCTTCTGACGCCTGCAGCGGCCGCAGGTCCTGGCGAAAAGATTCCGGAGCCTTGTCAGAAAGGGCACGAGTAACCGAAAGCAATATTTGTCTTAAAGAGACACAGCCGTCAGAATCTCTTATTCCTTTTGGGCGTCCGCAGCTCGCGCGGTTTCGGGCGCCCGCAACGAGTCTGGAGCGTCCGGGGGAAGCACGCGGGAAGCACCCGGGGAAAGCACCCGGGAAGGCGATGCCACGGCGGCCAAGGTGTGCGACCACTGCGGGGAGAAGGCCCGGGAGGGGAAGAAGCTCCAGCGGTGCGGCGTCTGCAGAAAGGTGCGCAAGCGAAAGCGCGTTTTCTCTGTCCGTGCTAGCTCTTGCTTTCGTGTTTGTTCGTGCGGGCAAGATGGGGGCAGAGTGGCTTTGAAGCAGGGTCGGTGTCCACTGGTCTTATCCGAATAAAACGCGTTATTCGGAGGAGGATGTGACGTGCTCGGTTCGTAGATTCTATTCGTCACTGGTGCAGCAATCGGAAGTCAGACTCTCTGGTTGTTACTCCGTTCGACGACAAAAAGATCCGACGAAAACGGTACAACCCGTCTGCTTTGGTTATTTGGGCCAGGTAAAAAGCTCTAGCCGTTCGCGAGTTGTCTCCTTAGCAGAAGATTGAGGAACTTAGCATCCAGATGCGTGCTGCTGATAACCTGCTTGGTTGTTGGATTGGCCCTTCACGAGCGATGAATGAAAACGGACCGATCCATACTATCTACCGAAGAACGGAGATTTGGGGAAGAGGGGAAGTGGTCTAATCAAAGATGGTTTGTTGCGCAGGCTAAATATTGTGGACGGGAATGCCAGTCGGCTGCGTGGCGGAAGGGGCACAGGGAAGCTTGCAAGGGACAAACGTCCTAGGTTTGATAATCAGATTGTGAACCAGCCCTAGTGAACTCGCTCGACTCAAAAGTAGATAGCATGATTCCGCAATTAAGTGTCATTCGGATGGAGCCTAGGGAATGCGTAGAAGTGTCAGAAGTAGCAGGGACCTGAAGAAGTGTAACCCCTTGCAAATGTGGAACATAAATGACCAAACAGGATAACCTAAGTACAAACATATGATATCATGATTGGATGATTCCGGCCCCTTATGCATGCCCGGCTAGCTTAGTATGTCGTATATGCCCGATGATGAAGCAGTTATATAGTTTTGTAAGTTAGCGGGATGTACACGGGCGTGCCAATCGGTCAACTTGCGTATGTAGTCTGGCAACACATCACGTACCATGTGCCTCGTTGCATGAAAGCCTTTCCAATCTAGCTACAACTTGCTTCAGGCGTGGCGATCATTTGAATCAATAGTGGTGTGCAGTTGCACGTTCAACTTCAGCCTCCGACCCAATTTGAGTCTTGTATGCAGCTACCCTCAGATATTTAGGCACTCATTGAACACGCCGCCGGTAACTCGCTTTTGGATTGGAGGATTCATGCAATGTTCATGAAATTGAGGGGTCGATCCATCAGATATTTTTGTGCGAGCTACCACATACTTGAGGCTCCACTCGTTTCATTGCATTCTCCAATATGAAGGCAGCCCAAAACCACGTGGCCTCTACGACCATTTTGACATGGTCCTCAAGCAGACAATGTTCAGTCCGACCGAAATTTGTGTCTACTTCATGGATCCGTCACTTGATCTGTTGAGATCGTAATAGCGAATCTTGCAAAAGACTCGATCTTTTGAAGAAGCGTTCAGACGGCCTGGACGTGCTGATGGTAAAGGAAGTGCATCAACCGGCGAGCTTCTCGTTCAGATCCGCACCTTCTATACCCTCAGCAACAAACTCGAACTTGTCGCTCGTCCGGCCCGGCAGTGGATTTTGTGGCTTGACCAGTGCAATTTCTGATGCTCCTTGCTGCAACACATAACAGATGCAATTGCAACTTGTCAGTTATTATTACAAACCCAGACCTCTATTTTTTCGTGTTGATTCACTAGAGCTCGTGCTACTATGAATCAATGAATCAGAATAGTAGAAAGAAAATAAGTCAGACTTCCTACGAGTATCTGATGAACTTCATAATGGAAGATAAATGAATTGGAGGCGACTGGCTCTGAGGTTCATTCGAGCGTTCTTATTAGGGCGTTAAACGCTTCCTGAAGGCCGTTGTGCTGGTCAGTGAAAACCCCTTACTTCAAAGAGCGAAGCAAAGATCAGAACGACTCGTACATCAATCAAGCCAAGTTGAGGGGTACGTAATCTGGCGGTCTCAGGATGAAGGCCCATCCTTTCAGGCCGCGCCAATCTCCTGTGGCCTTATCCTCTTTTGGTGATTTATCATTCCAAGGCGTCAAGAAGCGTGCAGATTTCTTGAGGTGGCAGACTGTGTGTTGCATCAATCGAGAACGGGCACGCGTTGCCTGCAATGAGTTTGCGGTGGATCTCACCTGCAATAGCGAGCCACTCGACAGCCTCCGCATTTTCCAAACTTCTTTCCCGAGGAAGGCTCGCGGCCTGCGGTGCACCGCTTCCATGAGCATACGACTCCAGCACATGTCCCTCCTTTGATCTCGGCTTTCACCTTGCAGTCCTCTCCTCTCGGTCGACCTTCCAAGCGTGTTTCGAAGTAGCTCCAAGCTTCCAGACCTGGGTACGCTAACTCCATCTTCCACTTATAGGGCCTGAAGGTCGTCAGCGCGTTGTGCGCGCGCAGCTCTTCCGTCGTTACCTCTGTTTCCAGCAAGAGGAGTAGGATTGCAGTACACCTCGCAACGGGAAAGTCGCTACTTCTCGCACCCTGCCAAAGCTGCTGCAACGGGGAGCTTTCAAAGATTGCTGCTAGCATCTCGAGAAGCCCCTTGTCGATAGCCCACAGTTGGCTGTCAGGATAGAACGCAAGCGAAGATGCTAGACTGGTCAGGAAGTGCTGGATCAGGGTTGCATCCTCTTGAATCACCTTTTCAACGAAGTCAGCAGATAGAAAGAACCCCAGGGAATCTGAGATGGTAGTTTCTTCAAGGATGTCTCGCATGCCGGCCCGGAAGATCCTGGATCCTCTCACAAAGTTGGCCAAGCACTCCAGAGGTCCCACAACCAGCGGCTTGATTAACGGTCCATGTTCTTCGACTCCGTCCTTGAAACTGCGGGCCACTTTCAGAGCATTTTCAAGCAGCCTCTTGTAAATGATTCGCGCCATCTGCCGTTCCTCTTTCGCGAGGACGTTCAAGCAGCGTTCTACCACTACCTTGCTTCCGGTCAGAGTTCCTAGGGCCTGGTAGCTCATGTCGTATACTCCCAGTACTTTTTTGACGTACTCTTCGGTCATATCACGCTCCAAATGCACTTCCATGAGGACTCTGGTTAAGATCGTTTGTAAAACGAATCCCCCTTGGTAGGCTGCGAGCTCCTGGACAGTCCTTGCGGAAACCTCCCGGCCTTCAGGACGTGTAAGGGAGACGTCTTCCAGCAGGAGGCAAACGCTCCAAACATCTTGAGGAATTTCTGTTTCAAGCAGCATCTTAGCAAACCTTTCCACGGTCTTGTCGAGATCCTCTTCCATATTTCACTTGCGCGCGGGGCAGTGCGCTTGTGGCGCTCTTCCCACGCATGTAATGGAGCTTGCAGCACGATTGAAACTCCCTGAGGCTTCCTTTATCAGCTTATACCGTAATCTCTGGTGGCAGAGACGATCAAGAGATTATTATTGGCCTTTTCTGACAATCGCGCCAAGTCTTCTTCTTGATGATGTTGTAGGTCTGATTCGTTGCATGCGCTCAAATATGAATGCTCTGAAAAGAATCAGCAGTGGGTGCTTATCAGCGCTGACCTAAGAATTGCAGTTCCACAGCTGCAAAACGGTACTGCCTGGTCTCAAGGAGTCTCATGTAGGACTTTGCGCTCTGCGGGGCGCGCGGGCGCTGTGCTTCTTTGCCTAAAGCTGCATGCAAATTTTAGCGCGCAAGCCAGGAGAGGGCCCTTTGCAGGCGCTCCACAGGCGCCTTCGATTCGCAAATCTTCGCAAACCAGGCAAGCATTGCAGCCTTTGTCGCTGCTTGGCACGAAAATCTCCGCGCTGTACTAGTGGACTCTGGATCGTCAGAGCACGCGCGTGCATACATCTTCGAATATGCAGAACGACAAGGCTGGAACCCATCCACTGCCATCAAGCTGATGAGCCTGTGGTCCGGAGCGTCCGAAGATAGCACGCGGGGGCAGTAAGCCAGTCTTAGAAACATGCAACTCTGCAATTTGTCTGATCTCCACTCCTCCTCGGCATCCGCAACTGACGCGGTTTCTGGCGGACGCAACGAGTCCGGAGCGTGAAGAGTCGCCGCACACGGAAACTTGCCGGAAGATAAGCCAGTCCTAAAGACGACGTACAACCGGTTCCGAATCTTTGATTGCCTTTCTTTTGGACGTCCGCAGCTGGCCCGATTTTCGGCGCACGCAACGAGTCTCAGTGGGGCGTCCGGGGGAAGCACGCGGGAAGCACCCGGGGAAAGCACCTGGGAGGGCGATGCCACGGCGACCATGGTGTGCAACCACTGTGGGGAGAAAGCCCGGGAAGGGAAGAAGCTCCATGAGCGGTGCGGCGTTTGCAGGAAGGTGCGCAAGCGAGAGCCCGTTTTCACTCTCCGTGCTAGCTCTTGCTTTTGTGTTTGTTTGCGCGGGCAAAGTGGGAGAAGACCGGCAGCGAAGCAGCTTCAATGTCCACTCTGACTGGATGGAACCTTTTCAAGTGAGAGAGTGCACACCAAGAGTCGAAGTTTTGTCCAATTTTCGTCATGAGTGCACAAGCCTGACGTTTCCTTTCTGATCGACACTCCTCCGTTCGACGGCGAAGTGATCTGACGAAAACGGACATAATCCCTCTGCTTTCACTAATTGTTAGTGTGGCCAGATTAAAAGCTCTATCCGTTCGTAGTTGCCTCCTTAGCAGGAACGTGAGGAACTCGAAACCAGACGCGTACTGTTGGTAATTCTGCTTCATTGTTGGAGAATATTAGAGTTTTGACTCCCAGACCGTGCGGCCCGGGCCGGGGCCCCGTGCTCGGACTCTTCAATGATGCGCCCGTGGCCGCGCGCCCAAAGCTTCATGCACAACCAGAACATGAAGAGGTTTACGCTGATGTGTGAATTTTGATGCATGCCAGATGGTGACGAGGCAATTCGCTCAGATGACTCGCCCATGCAATCAATACACGTAGGGATCGGATGCCATGCCATGATGATATGGCAACGCGCCGCGCTGGCTACGATCGACATCATCATATACGATCAGGAAGACCCCATCAATTGTCTGCTCACTTGCTGCCATGTGGGCACCACAATTCTCGCTATAATAGCAACGTGTCAAGAAGTACGATGGAGGGGAAATGTTCCGCCCGCGGAGCTAGCTCATCAGTTTGGAGCGCATCGATTTTGCTTTGGCATAGACTTCCATGCTCAGCGAATAAAACTTGGCTGTTCCTTCATGGCAACAAGGAGGCGACGTTATTTTCGCTTGAATCTGCTCATTCAATTGCCCATTTTCAGGGGCTTCACATGATCCGCGAATTTGCACTTTTTGACGAGAGTCAGGCTCAGTATAGCACCGGGCTTCAATCTTCAAACCCCGGAGAGAGCGCAAAATCGTATGGAACCCGAATGTACATGTGACATAGTAAAGCTCACCTGAACATTGCAAAGTGCCACCTTATTGGCAGCGAGCCCAACGCCCCTAAAGCTCAATTTGTAGCTTTCGTGAGACTCGCAACACTGGCCAGGATTTACAGTGCGTTTGACGGGTATCTGACTGTCAATGCGACATCTTGACATCTGAAGCTCATTGATGGCTCTTCCATTCGCCTATGCCAAGGAGATCCTGCAGGAAGCACAAAGTTTCAACTCTCTATGCCTTGAGCACGAATTGTTTTCTCGACTGCCGCACAGCTTAGGGGTTTTTGGCGAAATCAGGGGCTGACCGCACTGACCGACACCAAGCTCCGTCTCTTGTATAACCCTGCTATCTGTCAAAGTCAGACGCGGGTGCATTTGCTACTCGAGGCCACACCAGCAAAGGCTTGGATAGTTCTAACCAAAGTTAGCCTGCCCGTTGACAATTATGTGGCTGCAGAAGATATGCGGATGTTTCAAGCATGAGTCGTCGCTTGTATGTATGGAACAACACCGGATCTATCACTAGAGCTATGGCAAAGGCTCAAGGCCCACCTGAACTGCTCGTGTTTTGGCCCGCGTCTCTGCAGTTGCCGGGATGTCGTTGTTCGGCTTCGAGAAGCGCTTCTCGTTGGCGTCGCAGGAGCCTGTGGCCTCACAGTACCGCCCGTTTCTGCAGAGCGGTGGGTTTGGCGGGGGGTAAGAGTCGGTCAAAGCTACGGTTTCTAGAGATAGAATCTCAGGCGTGCACTTGGACTGGCTGCCTTCTCGGTTAGGGGAACAAGAATCCCAACATGCTTCTCGAGCACAGAGCGGTTTCTAGGAACTAATATGTTAGATGGACGTCCCCCGTTCGCTCAATCGAAAGACCACCTCGCATGACCTGTGTCAAAGCTGAATGCAGTTGTCCGAGCGTTTGCAGTTTACTGTGGCAGCGACAGGCCAGCCGGAGCTACTGATCAATCTCCAGACTTATAAGATCCTTAATGCTTCATCCCTCCTAGCGGCCATGAGCTGACACTCTTGACCACAAACCTGACCTTGAGAATGACAGGCGAACCCAAAGCCCGAGCCCCAATCCTTCTTAAGCTCCTGTCTTGAAACGTATAACGCACATTTTCTTATCCACATTGACAACGGATTACGAGGAAGGCAAGAGACTCACGGCATGATTGCTTTCACCCAGAATCTGGACCGCACAATGTCCCCGTTCTGGTCCGTCTCGTCCCGGAAGTCCTTGATCTCGTAGTTGACGCCGAAGAACATGCCCAGCTTCCGCCACCCTGCAAAGTCATGTAAACGGTGCAGTTCCGGTAGGTTCCAGAAGCAAAAGCACCTTGGGGAAAAGGATTAGGGAGCAGAAACTAACGCAGATTCATGTCGGAAACATCATTGGGGATGAGGGAGGAATGAAGAGGCCGAGCAGCGAAGAGCCGGCGGATACATATGAGGAACAGCAACTAGGTAATCTACTTGGAAAGAGGTGTTCTGCGGAAACGGACATGTTTGCTTCTCCGATTCCCTGCAAAGCCTAACCGTAGACGAAAAGGCGCCAAACATGTGGCTGTCAACGTCTGATATGAGTAACGGCACACAGCAGCGCAGTAGCTTTATCATAATATTGTTCGTCTGGGAGTATCAACAGCTGCTGAGATCAAATGCTTGAGATTGTTAGCAAGACACTGCAACGCTCGCTGCTAGGTAGTTTCGTGATCGTCCTTGACGAGGCATAGTACCTTTGAGCATCTTTTGTTGAATTTGGAGAGAGACTGTCGACGAGATGCTTGCCCACCTGTCTTCTTTATCATCCTCTTCCCTTGCAGCATCTGGTAGTCGCATGGATCTAGTATCTGCAAGCATATTTGAATCAATCCCTGAGCGTTCGTGTGGGTTGTGAAAGCGTACTGGCTACGACCTTCTGATTGGGAACTCTACCACCTCAAAATATATGCAGGACACTTGGACACTTGAGTAGTGAAACCTGCATGCGCCACCGACGGAACACCGCAGATTCGTTGACGATCAGCCGCAGCTTGTTGGACGCTGTGACAGCATGTGATTTTCAGCTCCTATGTACCACTCAAAGAAGACACTTTGAGAACGAAGCGAGGCACTTGTCGCACGTTACGTGTAGGCTGTGCCCCCTAAGAGGACCTTAAGGCCCATAGCACTTGCAGTGGTGTGACCAGCACTAGGGAACACTTGTCTCAATTTAAGTTGCCCCAAGCAGTTGGTCAGAAAACACTTCTTGAAGGTCACTGCAGCAAAAGTTCCTCACCTGCATGGCCTCATCCTGGAAGGACCTGAAGACAGAGGCGCGGGGGCAGTCCAACCACAGTTCCTTCTTCTTTGCCGGCGGCGCAGCAGGCACGTTCTCCTGCCCTCCAGCTGCAACGACTTGAGGCCTGGCTTCTTTCCTATCTACAAGAGCGAGCGCGCCGGGAACTTGCCGATTCTCGGAAACCTGCTGCAAGGGCAGCCGTTGATTCCCTGGCTGAGGGGTATGTGGTTGCTGATAGGAGGTGGAGGGCCTGGAGGTAGCGGGGGGGTGTGTTACAAAGTAGGAATTGTCTGTTGCACCACTAGCTTGCCAGGAAGGTGGCTGTGGCGATGCTGGAGGAGGGGGGGTGGCACTTGGCAACACCAGAGGGTACATAAGCTGGTTGTCAGGAACTAGGTGCGACGCGTTCTGCTGCTGTCCTGCTCGCTGACTGTCAGGGGGTCTACTGTTCTGTCCGTAGCTCTGGCCATGCTGCACATTGCCCCGCTGAGCAGTGTGCTCGACCTCAACTCTGTGCTCCCGCTGTGGAGCCAATATAGGAACAAGGCTCAAGGTGGCACTGGGATCAGATGCTGTTGCAGTGGGGGGCACCATTCGACCCTCTGATCGGGGTCTCCCAGATCCCCCTCCCCCATTCATGTTGCTGTGGCTCCTCCCCGAAGCTGGTGTCTGCGGAAGCTCTCTTATGGTGGGACGCGCTGGCATGCCCGTCTGTTGAGCCCACCCAGTGAGCACTTCAGGGAGCTTTACATGGATGACGTTGCTGCCTAGATCACATTCGCTTGCATTCATCTTCTGCCGCTTGGACGCTTCTGCCTCATGCACAGCTGAGAGCAAGCCAGCATCGTCAAAGTCCTCTTCATAGAAGTACGTCTCAGAGTCATCCATAGCCGCAGTCTCCTGATGTCACATCAAGCGAAGAGCCCCTGCCCTCCTTGAAACATTGCTACAGGCTGTTTTTGGCAGCTAGTCCTTGCTGCTGATAAAAGCTCAGAATAGAATCGATTCTTTCCAGCTTCAAAGGGCTCCCCCTATACTCAATGCATGTCTCACATGAGGCAATAAGCATGCAACTTTTGCAAGGCCTGCACTGTCTCCCCTGCAGGCATCCTACATGCTCTCCAGACAAGTTTGAAGGCTCAACAAATGTGGGCCGAGAAACGCAGCGGCACGTTGGCCCTACCCAACTTCAAAGCCGCCTGCTTGCAAGCCCCCCCGACGCGAAGTGCTCACAGTAGCTGACAACCAACTCACATAGGTATCAACCCACACTCAGAGGCTTCAGGAGCTGCTTCGCAGAGATTGCAATCTGCAATCCTGGTCTACCAGTCCCCCGTTTTTGAAATTTACCTACGGTAGAGCAGGCTGCTGGCACTGCGGCTTCCCTATGTAGCAGCCTCACCTTTGAAGTTTCAGATCTTTGCAGCCAAGAATTTGGACTCCGGAGAAGTGGCTGAGCTCAGAGCTGCTGTTTGAAATCGAACTGTGCTTATGACCAGTGCCGCGACAAAGGTATGCATATCTGAGCCGTCGAGAGTCGTATCTGGTGAAGATCGGCGGCTCAAAACATATTACATTTCGAGCAACTCCATCAGGCCATCCGCGCGCCAAGCTCTAGTTGCCAGCTCTGAGACCCAACCTGAGGCTGCAGATTTGCTGTCTCTCTGCGGGGAAGGGGGCGGGAGGCATTGGCTGCGAAGACAGCATTGAAGCTTTTGAAGCTTGAGGCCTCCTCTCTAGCTTTGGTTGCCAAGTACCGGAAACTGTGGTCAGGAGGACACCTGCTGCATGAACATGGCAGCCAGAAGCCTTGAAAGCGGCATTGCGAGGGTCCAGCTGAGCCACTTGAAACGCACTGTTGGAGTAGCTGATGAAGCTTACGAAAGTGCTGGGGATGATCTGATGCAAGCCCTTAGGACTGACCATGTTTGCATCATACAGTTGGATGAAGCAGAGGCGAGCATTTTGAAAGATGGTCTAGCGTAAGCTACTTCAAGATTTGGAAAGGAATGGAGCCAGGGTTTGAAGCGGCCTAGAGAACCTGCTTCTGAGACAGAAGGCGGCTACCATTTATTGCCTGACAAGGAGTTATACAATGCCATACTCGGAGACAGGTAGGCCCTCTCGCTGTCTTTGTACAGGCTTAAACAAAATTCATTACGCAGCACCGACCAATTGGGTGCGTCGCCTTCTTGCTGCACACCCTTTCACCCTGATCAGCAGATTGCGAAACAATCTGCAGATAGCCAACATGTTCGAAGCTGCTGCTTCTTGAAGCTGCTGTTGAAGAAATATCCTTCATTGTCTTCCAGACGAAAAATCACCTGACTTCCTTGCACATTCTAGTCACATCATGACATGTACTCTAACAAGGCGATAGCTCCTAGTCCATCTTGTTTGCCCTGTAGTGACTCGAGCATCGCACTGATATGATGGGCGTGTTGCTTATCAAGCGTCTGAGGACATTTGGCTTATCATGTTTGCCCCCCATGTCCAGACCTCATGAACCAATCTTGGTTGAGAACTTCGCGACGCTGAGCAACGCTTCTCGTTAATATTGGCTGCTCTGGCCTGGGGTCTGCGGGTACACACAAGCTCGTTCAATCCCCTCCTCGACAATGAACCCCTGCATCCCGGAACTACATCGGCCTCGGTGCTTTCCTATTTTCACTACAAGGAGAGATCAAGCGAGAGGGGGAAAGGCAAGGCCATCCAGAGCGCTTGTCCAGAACATGTTGACAAGGGACTGGTCACAATGATCGCCTCCGACGAGCCAGGATTGGAGGTAAGTGGATTGATGGAGCTTCCTTCTGTCTCCTCCACTGCTTTGCATCATATGGCTGGCCCCACATGAGAGCCCAGCCATTCATTGCAAAGATTGGATGACTCAATCCCGCCTCTCTTTGCCTGGAATTTTTTTGATTTTATTCTACATGTTGAAAGGCTGCTTGCACCAGTTGCGTTGCTCAGGGACTACCTCGCCCACTCTTTCTGATCATGCTTGTAAAATCTCTTTAGCAGCTTTGATAGATGTGATCAACCTGAAACAGGTGTAATGGCACCCCACTTGTGTGCATGTCAATTTATCCAGAACAGTCTGTTGAACAGCAGAGAAGGAAGACAAGCATCTCAAGCGGGTTTGCGAGCCGCCCATCCCACAACCTCCCCTTAATCCAATCAATGTTCTTCTTGTAGTTTGAAGGGTCTGAACAGTGATGCTGATTGCACCAATGAAGTGGTGACTGTGCTTCGTTCCAATCATCAACATTGCGCCAGTAGAGCTTCAGGGTCATCGTTGTCGTGCTGTCGTTGCAGGTCCTCTCCCACAACCAGTGGAAGCTTGTTCCCGCCAAGCTTGCGGATAATGAAGTCATCCTCCTGAGTGGCCAGGCTCTCTTTGAAGCCACAGGAGGCCATCTTCAGGCTGCTCGCCACCGTGTTGCACAGGATGAGGGCCGTGCACGCTTCTCCCTTGCCTTCAAATGCAGACCCCAGCTGCAGGCAGTCTTTGACCGTGGACCTATCGCTGATGCCAATCCTACCGTGGCCAGGAAATACAGATCCACAGAAAGGCTACTGCCTGTGGCAAAGTACATGGCTGATTTTGACATCTGCCACGCATCGGTAAACAAAGCAGGGATCCAAAGAGTAAGCGAACCTTAGCCGCCACTTCAAAGCATGACATTTTGTGACCTGTCCACAGCGCAAGGTCTTTGGTTACACAAACCAGATGCAGTTTTCATGACTGATCTTCCGATTCCTGTCATGAGCTCTCTTTCAATAGGTTGACACAAAGTTGGGGATGAAACATGCGTCAAGTTTTCTGAAGCCCTCAACCAGAAGAATTCAAGTTCTCTTCTTCAGGTTAAAAGGGAGAAGGCTTCATTGTCTTCAACACAAGCAACTCGGGATCCTTCACTGATTGCAACTGCCTCTTTGTCAGGACATCTCTGGTGCTGTACATGAACCAGGGGATCCTCGGGAAAACGCTCCTTCCAGCCAAGAACGCAAGGACGAGGGGCGTATCACCGTGACTCTCCAGGATCAGAGTGGTTGCAAAACGGTCTTCACAGTAAGAACCTTGAATGACACTGTCATGGACCACTCTTTATGGAGAGATTGGATAAGTGACGTGTCCGAGTTTGTCAGAATGCGGTGGCCAGGTTGCCCATCGACTTTGTAATGGGCATTCCTACGTTGCATGCGTTGTCGCTGACGAGTTTGTATCACCGACTTGTTGGTAAGGAGATCAGCAATCAGATGGATAGTTATGCCCGATCATGGGACCATTACTAGATGGTATGCTTTTGTAGTTGTTTGTGGATGAAGACCTGCTCTGCAAAATTGGCAACGACACGACGAAAAATCCCCTTGCATGCTAACAGTTATCTCGATAAATCTTTGGCGATCTTGGCAGGCGGACGTTCTTTCATGTTACTGGATTGGAAAATCAGCCGCCAAGGTTGTGCTTAGCCTTCACAATTCTTTTGCAGTGTCGTCCAAGTCTCCGGGTGCGGAAACTAAGAGACGCGTGGTTGTCTCTACCGAAGAATTCAGGGCTTGCGCCCGACAGCTTCTCATTATACTTTGGCGGTCGCTTACATCCGTGGGAAACACTGCTAGAGTGCAGTGTCGAGGACGGAGACGTCATTGATGTCATGATGCATCAATGTGGTGATTAATTTGTAGCTTCTGTACGGATGCGACATTAAATATCAGGCTTATGCTTTCCTTATCATGTGGACATTGACTGGTAGATTGGCGAACTTAGATGACTAGCCTACAGGAGGAGAGTCGGTTGGGGCAGTGAATTATTTCAGGCCGCATCTTTGACAATCATTGTAAATCAGAGAGTAAAGATATGAACGACATTTGCAGGGCTCTAATACCCTCGACAGGTTAGTACTTTGCTGTCCAGTTTTGAGATTGAGGTCGTGGTTGTATGGAACTTTCAGAGAAGAACATGCCAATGCACGTCTTTATGTACATATTGTAGTCGTCAACTTGGTTCAACATAGAACTGAACGAAGCTAGCCATCAGAATAACGCGCGGATCGAACATATCAGCTCTTTCCCATGAGCTTTTTCGTTCAACACTAGTTCTGTCCATGTAACTTGAAAGCTTACATTTTTAGTAAGCGAAGTCTGAAATTGTCTAGCAACTCTCCGTGTGTCTAACTTTATGTTTCTTAATTGTGTCTAACATTGCGATCACAAGCACATGCCTCTTTAGTAAAGAGGCATGTGAGCTTGTGATCGCAAAGATTGGTGCCGGGGACGGTGAGTAGTGCATGTCCGTACGATGGTTGGGGTGGGCTCTACTGCGAAGTACATGTGTGAATCCAAAGTCGGGATTTACAACATCATGGGACCGGTTGACTTGGAGAAGTTAAGTCACAGTTTTCAGTGAAACGCCCGTTTGCGGACGTACCGCGTCAGTTGCATTATAACGTAGAAAACCTTTTTGCAATCTTGGTCGTGCATGTGCACAATGTGATCATACCGTCGTATACTAGTTGCCTTGATTATACAGCCTCGCAAGTCTCGGCTAGAGGTGATTCGTATTGAATCCAATAATCCAAGTCTCTTGCAGGCTGGGCACTAAGCGGAGCGCGCGACGAGCAGCTACATGCCGGACGTTGTTAATTATATATCATTTCTGCAAGCCTTCATGCACGCGGCCCACAGCTCGAGTTCACATGAGAGTCACTGCAGCATCAGTAGGATAATGACATTGTGCGGGGCGGGGAGCTTCGAAGCCCGACGAGGCCGGCTGGCCACTCAAGTGCGTCACATGCACGCAACAACTCTAATTAAGTATACATATAGCTCTAACGAACGGGCTCGGGTATAATTCATTGCCATGCGAGGCCCTGTACCGCAGTCGTCCGCCATCGAACTATTTCCCGCCTCTCGCATGCGACGTGCAATGATCATGGTCCGACCGAAGTTCTATCAATTGCATGCAACAAACTGGTGCATGAGACAATCGGTTTGATGTAGCGGCCGACGTCATTCAGTCAAAACAACTCAGGCAATCTGTCGTCACCGCCGCCGGCACGGCCACAGCCAACGTACTCGTTTGCGAGTGGAAGAGATGTACGTCCAACTGTTACAGCTCAATCACTGATGGACCGTCAGTACTATGCCGGAGAGTTCAACAAGTCTTTGGCAAAACCGAGACCATGACCGGACACACATGCCTATGCCGTCAAAAGGTCCGCCATGCACCTTGCTTTCCAGGCAACCGTCCTCCACTGCCAGAGTAGCAGCACATGCTCGAAAATCGTCCTAACGATGCTGACGGTCCAAGTCCTTGAAGCTCAAGCCCTGATTTTGTCTCCGCGTGCAAAATTGACTCTACAGCAAAAAGCGAAAAAAAAATGTGCAGAATTCAGAGGCCTGCTTTTACGAATCGGAGATGACGTACTCGCCATCAGCAACATACACATCCCCGACATACGAGTCGCTGCCTAGATCGTCGGGGTTCACAAGGTTCTCTCTTACCAACACGTCAGCAACGCCGGAAGGGTCACGCGCAATCTGCACAGAGTTTTCAAAGGCTGGTATCAGCGCAAGTGCGGCTTTGGGTGACGTCAACAGGTGTGTGCAGACACTGGCATGCAGCAAAGAGCGCGAGACACAGACATTCGCGACCGGCAAAGACAAGTCGCGCGTTGAGAGAACGACAGAAACATGCAACCGAACCAGGCGTTTAGAAAGTCTTGGCCAATCAGTGCCCAAGTCTCTAAAGCCTCCCTTTCTGGGACTCTGAAACGTCTCTGTTCTGGAAGACAGTACTTGGACTCGCTAAAAACACAACGAAGTACCAGCGAAGCCGTTGACAAAGCAAGCGAGCAGCAGCAGCTGTTTGAAGTGCCAAAGAGCCCAGATCGAACCCCTCCGATCCGTAGAAACCCGGTTTCGGAGACCAGAAGATCCTGATCGCCGCTGAAAAACCAGAGGCCTTGCCAGCACTCATGACCGGGTACACAAACTGAAGGAGCAACCGCTGAATTGCTCCTCGAAAAGAGCACTTCTGTGCTTCAAAGCTATTAAAACCGGACCCTTAAAACCGTAATCGTTGCACTTTCTGCGCTGCCTCTCTTCTCTTTCTCTGTTCTATTCCATGTCGTCATTTATCCCAAACCCTAAAACTCTCAAATGTAAAAGCATTATGTCGAATATAATGAGAACTCACCAACAACTCGTCATCAAGATACGTGATCAGCAGCAGCCGCTCGTATGTGTTCGTTAGGGGAATCGTCAGGGGGCCCTCCACCAGACTCTTGATCTGCGCGGGGAGTCCTGCCACCGCGCCCGCGATCTGGTCCAATATGGGCCGGACTTGCGAGGGGGCGCTAGCGGCATCAACTGACGGAGCGCTTATGGAGCCTTCCTCGTATGCCTCTTTCAACCTGGGAGAATATGCGTCGAAAATGTAAGAGATCCTTTAGAACAAAGGACTGGACTTGAGTGAGGGGACGCTTGCGGGGTCTACGGACGGAGCGCTTATGGAGCCTTCCTCGTATGCCTCTTTCAAGCTATAGAAGTAATCGTTGAATTGCATTCCAAAGAAAGTCATAAGCGGCGGACCGGCGCTGACGAAGCCTTCATCGTATGCGTCGTTCGGCTGTGCGAATATGCATGGGGATGTTTGGACCCATGTCAACAGAAACGCCTGGCAACAGACGGGGGCGCTGATGGAGCCTTCCTCGTATGCTTCTTACAGCCTGTGCGAAAATGCTAGGAAGTTTGCCCCAAAAAAGTACATTGAAATCTAGTGAGGGGTGGGCAGGCGGCGTCGACATTGGGGCGCTTATGGAACCTTCCTCGTATGCCTCTTTCAACCTGCGAAAATACGGGTAGTGTTTCTTTGACATTTTCGTTTTCGATATGGTGTTGAGGGTGGGCGCTTCTTAGACTGTGCCAAATTGCGCGCAACATTTCGGAGGGGGCGCTGCTGGTGTCTGCAGACAGGCCCCCTGATGGAGCCTTCCCCGTATGGCTGTTTCACCCTCTTTCAACTGTGAGAATACGGGCAAAGTTTCTTGAAAACTTTCAACACAGTGTTCGCAATGGGCGCTGGTTAGATTGTGCAGAATTGTGCGCAACATATTGGAGGCGTCTGCGGACGGGGTGCTGATGAAGCCATTCTCGTATGCCTCTTTAAACCTGTGAGAATAAGTGCAAAGTTTGTAGGAATTTTTCGACAAAGTCTTCGGAATGGGCGCTGGTTAGTCTGTGCAGAATTGTGCGCAACATTTTCGAAGGGGCGCTGGCGGCGCCTGCTTATGGGGAGCTTTTTCGTTTGCCTCTTTCGACGAAAGGGTGATATGTGTGAAACATGTTCGGGATCGTTTCAGGAAAGAAACGCAAGGTCGAGTAAAGCACGGAATTGTCGGGGGCTACGGAGACAACAATCGTTCTGAAAGATGATGTAGAGAACCAGCGACGACCGAAGTCAAAGGGTAAGACAAACGATTGACCCGTTCCGTCAATGGCCTGAGGAGGGGAGCTAATGTTCCTTCGTCGAACGACTCTGCCAACGGAACTGCGCAACTTTACGCAAAAGCCACCTTCGCATACGCCAAGATGTAAGAACGGCATTATGGCTGAAAATTGTGACAGCGCAACGAAGGAAAGCGCATTTTTAGATTATACTAGTTGGTCGAAAACAACTTGCATTCCTTACACGTCTCTGAGCGAAGGAGTGGGACTGGCCGGATACTTTTCGCAACAACGAATATGGCCTGCCGTTATATCGTGCGTGAGAGTCTGGTAACAGGCTTATGACCAGATCCAATCCACTGTAATGCTGACGGAAGAGATCGTCCCCTACGGTTGATAGGACGAGACCAAAAGAAGACCAAAATTTCAAAGTGGAATTTCTAATCAGATATCAATATACGGCCTAACACACTCGCTAGTAAGAGTTAGAAACATGTTAAAGGTGCCACCTTCAAAATCGAACGCACCTGGAGTTGCCTTCCACGAGAATGGTGGATTCAATCGTGACTTTGTAAACTAGGCTGGAGAACGCCTTGATGGTGGCAACTGCTTTCGACTTGCTGCCAAAGATATTGAGCGTCAGCGAATCGATGGACGCCAGCTGGCTGGGGAACTGGCTCAGGAGGCGGCGCGCGGCAGCGAGGCCGGGGCTACGGGCGCCGGCCCAGAGGAACTCCCACGTGCCCTCTAATTGGGGCGACCTGCAGAGAACGATAATGGGATAAAAATGGAATCCAATTCTTGGCGGCTTTTTGTTGACGCCGACGAGCCCAGGGCTGCGAGCGCCGGCCCAGAGGAACGCCGACGTGCCCTCCAGCTGAGGGGACCTGCAGGAACGGAAACGGAAACGGAAACGGAAGTGAACATGGAAACGGAACTGGAACTGAAAGTGGTAATGAAAACAAAACGGAAATTGAAACGGAAACGGAAACCGAACCGGAACGGACGTGGACAATAAGTCTGACAATGATGTCGAGATGACAATGAGAATGATAACGAAGACGAAGAGAAAAGGGAGATAAAAGAAGGTTGACGTTTGAACGTGAGGTTGAATGGTTACAGCTTCGGGTTGACATCGATTGATCTAAAGACATAGCCTAGACTATAATGCGAAACGATTTGACGAAGGGAAGGCAACGAAAAGCGAGCGCAAGGGGGCAGAGCTGTGAAAGAAGACAAAGCAAAGAGAAAAGGATTCTCAAAAGGAGACAATCAACGTACAAAGACCCCACCGGAAAATGATCTTGACGGAAATGAGTAGCGTGAAAAGATGGAATCATGTACCAACCATGGGTGTCCTCTTGCTGGAACTCGAAATACAGGGAGAGGAATGACGGGGGTCGAAGTTGCGGAAACGGGAACAAAGGAATGGACGCGATTGCACCAGGCACTTGGCTGCAGCAATCCGATTAGGCAAGTAAAGAAACGGATCCTGAAACGGGGAGACATTTTGTGTGATCAACCCTTGGACATGGCACAGATAGGCGCTAGAGTTCTGCTTAAACTCCCAGAAGGAGATTGACCTCAATTGCTGTGTCTGAAATAGAAGACATTCCAAGCTCAAAGTGCTTGGACCTGGAAAGGCAGATTCTTTGGTGTCAAGCGCAAGGACAAAGCGTATCGTCTTTACTGCAGCGAGATTATAAGCGCACAAAAGCAGGGGAGCTTACGTTGTGGGCCGTGATGTTGGGTTTAGCCGCTCCAAGGCCAGGATCTTCTCGCTCACTGTGATGCGTCCTAGCGCAGAACCGGGGCCGCTGCTGAGCGCCTCTACGCCGCCCGCATCCCGGATCTGCGGCCAGAGACAAGCTTCAGGAGAAGTGTCAAAAAGTTGACGAATGTTAGGTCAATGTTTCCAGAAGGTTCCTCTTTGGTCACACTTATTGGAGAGGTTTTAGAAATAGAGATTGCGGGGTTATGCTGGGTGGTATCCTTCGTGCCTTTGGACGTGCGAGGAGCGCTGAATGCCCTGTGCTCTTTTGACCTTCTAGGAACAGACACGAGGTCCAAGAAAAACAGAAAGGTCCAAAAAAGAAAGAATCCGACATCGGGTCCAAGGAAGGGTCCAAGGAAAGAGAGAAAGGTCCCAAATAATACCAATTTCGTCACCAGAGACGCCCCAAGCACCTCTGCACATCATCTTTCTTCCAGAATCTGCTCCCAAAGGATCTGCGCTGACAGCATTGCACACCGCATCTAAGGCGGCACTCCTCATTCCCACCGCACTCATCGTCAAGAAGTGGCACCTGTATCAGTGGCGATGCATCTCCATTGTTGGCTTAAATAAGAGACAAACCCCGCGGGAAGAGAGCTCTCTGTTCGTACCGCCAGCAAAACCGCTTCCTTGGCCGCCACTCGCTCCATCTCACGCGCCTCCGTCGCCACCCCCGTACCATTTGCCGCCCGGATCTCCCCATACCTACTTCTCTGCAACCTTGATATTCTGTGACCGCTGGACCCTCCAGAACCAATCCATGTTTGTTGGGAACCAAAAGCTGTTGTTTGTGGGTAAGAAGATGTGGAAGCAAGGCTGTGGCTAAGAGATCTCGCCCGTGCTACGAGCGGAACGTGCAGCTTTGTGTTTGCTTGATTACTGCAGCTGTGGCAGGTGAAAGGACCAGCAATAAGGGAGGGGCTTGCAGAAAGGAGGGCGGCGTTGGACGCCATTTTCGTGCTTTGGTGAGTGCGCCTCTGCTATAGACGTGTGTGAAAAGCCTACGTGTCACTTCAAAAGCCGGCCCCAGTCGCAGACTGACTCTACCCCCATGATGACCGGAAAGCAAACCCTGGAATCACTGAAATCCTTCGTAGGCAGCGCGCGCGACGGCTGAGGCCGCGCGCCGTCCGACGCGTGAGCCGCGGCCGCAGACGTCAAGAGGCAGGCAAGAGCCAGGATTCATTCAGCTTGGCAGCTTAATTCAGGCGGTCTCCTCGAAGCATCAATTCCAACTTCAACCCGCTTCGACATATGTTAACGGCTTGCGGCCACAGATTGAGAGGAAAGAACCGCGACGATTTGTGTTGTACGCTTGTTTGTTTGACGAGGCGTCCAGATTCTCTACAATTGGGGGCTTTCAAGTTGAACACATCTAACTCATGCAAGGAGCCCGACTGGATGACGAGACGGGATCCTATGATGGGGCTGGAGGATAGAGTACTTTGCAACGTCCTTGGAGAATGACACTAAGCCTTCACGAAGACGAGGCTGATACCCCGGCTGATACTTGCCGCAAATTGGGGCAATTCTGCGGACCAGATTCGCCCGAACCGCGAAGTGCCGTAAACACCTAAGCTTCAGACCGATCATAGAAACTCAAATGCCGAAAGCCTTTATAGGAACCGATGAAAGCTGCGAAGATTTTAACGGAGTATTCAATCGCGGATGGTCTAAGTTCTGAACTTGACCGCGCAGAATCGTTTGCAACCCTGTCAATCAGCTGGATGGGCCTCGTACTGGCATGTGCATGCGCGGAAGTGATGTCTTGCCAATTACAACACTGCGTTTCGAGGCCTGCAAGAATACAAGACCGACGCAGAACAAATCAGTACCCTGTTTCCCTGTTGCTACCCCGTTTTGACGCCGCTTTCAGTGACATGAACGGGCGGCTCAAGGGTTTCGAGCTAAGACGTGGCCGAACCGTATTCCAACCTGTCCGAATCTGGTCCAAAGCGCACTTTGAAATCTCATATTTGGTTCGGACCTGGTTCAGACAAAGGGTTTGTCGTAGAACATATGTCATGCACTGTGTGATCATGATGGCCTGCATGCGCTTCGAATAATAGGCCCATTGGATTGGCTCAGGCGAATAGGGTCCGATTCAACGCGCAACATTGTTATGTGCTTGCAAATGAGGGTAGCCAGCGCATAACTCGGAAAAGAAAGAAAATAATCAACGTAGGGATTCGTTAAATGTACAACGAGCGTCTGCGGTGACCCGCGTACTCCTAAAGGAACGTCAGATTGAACAGTACCTTAAAATCTAGATCTTATAGATTCAAACGGATTTAGCACCGGCAAATTCGTGGTGTGGGCTCGTGGTGTGGGCCGGGCTTGACAAGACCGTTGGCTCATACCCAACAGATTTGCCTACGAGCCCTGCCCACAAGCTCCTATCAAAAGAATGGAACCTATTTGGCCTTTGAGTTCCAGCAAGGTCTCCATACTGTATTGAGTTTCCGCAAGCGCAGCACGACGTACAAGCTGATACTTAGATCCCCCTTAAATTACCCCTGGCAAATCCTGGTCCGGCCACAGAAGTGAAATGGGGCTTGGAGGATGGATTTGAACAATCTACGTCACCTTAGTTCACAGCGAGGCTTGAGATCAAAGAGACCTCGGAAGAGGACGAAGCTTCAGGACGAGGCCTTCTCGTGCCCAACCTGTTGAAACCTGGCAAACTGATTCTACTTGAATCAGGAGCCAGATCCTGACGCGGCCCGGATTCCCCTGTTTGCTGCGGTTATCTATGCACCACACGGCTCAAAGATGGGTTTCTGGGATGATCATGCAGAAACTTGAGGACGCAACCTGACCACTGAAAAACTAATCAAGGCAAAAGTGATCAGCAGTGCTTGAATAGATGCGCCCTTTTGCTGGAAGGGTATTTTAAAAGTCCCCTCGTATCAAGCGCCCTTCAAGCCAGCATGGTAAGGACTCGACAACGTACCATCATCCCTGTAAGGATTGTTCCCGGATTCGCTGTACGTGCGATCTCTTCGCGGTAGAGAAGAGACACGAGGATCTGATGACAGGCAGTAAAGAGTTGATACCACAACGTTGCTCTGAGACAGGGGCCAGGGCGTCTCCGAAGTCCAAGATTGGACCCGCTTCATGAAAATCAGCAGATTCAGCCTGAAAGACACGACTTGATCTGTCCATAAGGCAAACTGAAGAGATGATGGCACACCGTTACGCTGAGATATATAGAGGCCAGAGCGTTTCCGGAGTTTGAGATCAGGCCCGCTTTGTTCAAGCAGATTGAACATGAAAGACAGCGCGCTGTTTGAGAAGACCGCGGGTAAGCTCTCCAGTATGATGCGGAAAGGCAAAGCGGGCTCCCCTCAATGTGTTCAGAAACTCATTTCTGAACCCAATAAAGCTTTACGTTTTGAGCCCGCTCTATCCATTCGAGTACCGCACTTCTGTCGAGCAGACTCAATTCACTTTGTACATTGACTGGCGTCTCTTCAAATCTGAAAGATGAGAGTCTGCTTCGGCGTCCATCTAAGGTGAAGTGCGCTTGACATGAAGGGAGCCTGGCGAAGCTGATTTCAGTGCTTCTGCGGGGTTCCAGTGACAAATGACGTCAAAGAGGTTTGTCTGTGACCATGGAAAGATGGAACCAGCTTGATCCTTTTTAGGCCCTTGGCCTTCTTGCGAAAGGACACGGCGTGAGCCCATTCATGGGAAGAGTGCCAATGTCTACATGTCCTCAACTGGTCAAGGAGCAGGCAAAATCACCTCATTGAAGAATTTCCGTGTTCCGATAAAAAAGCCTGATAACAGCTAGAATTCTCAAAGAGGGCGTCTGCCACCCCTCATGACTCGCAACGACACTCACCTACTAGATGGCGTCGACAGGCTGTAGCCGCAG